AACATCCAGGGAACTTGAGGCTGCACTACTGTAGAAGTGGGAATGCCATCCTCAAGAACTCTATTCGGACGCTTATTGACTCAATGAGGAGACGTTGAACTGCATGTGTCAATGCAAATGGCGGTCAAGCACGCGATATTGACTTTTAGATTTGACCCCACGTGTCTTTTGAACCTTTCTGACTGTGGAACATTTCAATGAATGAGCGTCTTTTCTGTGTTGTTGTTTCTTTGTCAGTCGTCCATCTGTTATTATCCAATCAAAAATATCAATTCCTTACACGTCCTTTTAATAATCTGAACTTTATAAGTGGTGCGTTTTTCAATGATGTTCAGTATATTATTGAATATTTTAGACTTGTCTGTGTTCTGTTTTGCTGGTTCAAAGGGGACTCTTAAAGCTTTTGTCACGGCAAATTATTATCCGTAACACCAGTCTTAATTCGTCGAGTTACCTGGAAGTTGTAACATGTTTGTCACGATTCCTATTGTGTCTTGACCTGCCAGCGAGATCATTCCATGGCATATCGACAGAATTGTTAATTACCTTAGCTTGTATTCTCATTATCACCTAACACTAATATGTCTCAGAGCCATTCAAACATTAATCACTCTTTCAAGCAGCCGTTGTGTTTGCATCGAGTAGTTTCATTCCAATCATTGCCATCGAGTATCGTTTACATGATATACAGGAAATGATCTTTAATATCATCTCCCAATAAAACCATATTTTTTAAAAGCGCTTGCCTTTAGTAAATGGAAATGTCATTTTTGGGACATGTTTACATTATAAAAATAAATTCATGTAAATGAACATTAACTCATCATGTGATATCTTATTTCATTAAATTACACTACATGTATCACGCTTTTTGTGGGACTCCACTTTGAGAGTGCAAAATGTACTGTACAGTATTCCGCTACTTTACCTGTTTGTAACCATATAGGCCATAGGAACTTAACTTTGTCTGTTGAGCTTGAAGCAGTGCCAGACAGAGGGCATCACCAGGGTTCACGTCGGACAACAAAGCAGGATGTTAAAAGCTCCTCCTGATAGGATACGTAAGTCCCAAACATTCAAAGTAAATTTAATATTACCACGTTTTTAGTCGTAGAATATGTGTGCTTTTAATGGGTTGCTAGATTTTCTAGCTGAAGGGATGGTGTAAATTCAGCTAGGGTCCCTGCAGGAAGCAAATGTACTGTAAGTCCCAGTGATCCCTAGTATGGTGATCTACCTTCAATTTGTTGGCGATCTGTAGCCCGTTTTCATATTGTATTCTATAGTTAGAAGGTTTTAGATGTTCGTACTAGTTTTATATCTATATATGTGATCCTCTAGTTGTTTCACTGTCCTTCGTGGACAGGATTTTACAATTTGACTTTATTTATTATGAATCTTTAACTTATTTTAGTCACGATATGGCTGAAATACTGCCGATGTGACTAAACATCTTAACTCACTCACTCACTCACAACCTTCACTGATCAGCTGACATGTACTGAGCTCGAGACATTTGATCAAACAACAAACCGAAATCAGGACGCCGATCAAGATTAGTAGACGTACTCTGAAATTTCAGGCAGATGCATTGATGACAACAAACGGAATGGCAGTTCAGTACCACATTGGTTAACAATTTGAGGAAGGAATTCACCTCCTCATTCATGGCCAAAAGTGGTTGATGAGCATTTTGTACCTACATTGACTTTTGCAGTGGATCATGAAGTCCTTGCATGGGGTTTAGATGTTTAAAAACTAGGCCAGACATGACGGACGGTAAACGTTGTAAGCAAGCAGATGACTTCCCTCATACTCAAATTATTTCATGAGAACTGGCTTTCACTAAGCGTAAAATCACTGGAGTAACGCTGTAAGTCCAAGCGCCTGTACTGAGTCAAAAACTTCGTTTTTTGTGTACACTTTTAATCATTACATGTGAAAGACTTGAGGTTAGTCTTCTGCGGAACACCAAATTCATTCTTATGGTTAATTAATACCGAGCGATTAAAAGTTGCCAAAAAGCCGTCTGCTTCACTCTCGCCCGCCACAGAAACTACAGAGAGGTTACGTAACTCTGTCGCCAGAGCACTGCAGCGAACCGGAAGTGACGTTATGTGAGGAAGGATTTTCAGTCATATTCGTCATTTTGCTGATTTCTCGGCGTAGTCATCGAGTAACAAATCTATCAAAATCAAAACTACTTACCAGTAAAATATTTATTTGATTGATGACCAAAAGGATTTTGCATGACACAACTTGACGATTTCTTCCTCGGAAGCGAGGTTGTGTTCCAAGTGACAATAATATTGTGAGTAGTATTATATTGACATCTACCTCACTTCCAAGGAAGGAATTGTTATGCTATGAGCTATGTCATGCAAAATCCTATTTGCTATCAATTAAATACATATTTTCTTACCAGTACAGCTTTGATTTTGTAGCTCGGTGAAAACAAACCTAAATAGCATTTTTTGCTCAGACTGTCGGATGCTCACGACAGGACGCTGCCAATTCGTACGTCACGGGCTAAAGGCTGTTCGAGAATAAATGAGATTATGGATTGTTTTCATCAAGTCAGTAAATCAAAACTACTTTCTATTCGTAGTTAAATATGTATTTGAATCATGTACACAACTTGTAACATAACCATTTCTTCCACGGAAGCGAGGTGGGGACATGTTAGTGTCTGCTTTGTACCGAAATGCCAGCTCACTGAATTAACCATATTGAAATCACTTGACATAAATGGTTTAACACCAGAATAAATTGGGGAACAAAAAACCAGACCGATCCAACAGGTAGTCGTTATGACAACAATCGATTTTGACAAAATCGTCTATGAAAACACTTGTAACTCGGAAGCTAGGCAAGCAGATGACAAGATTAAATGACAGTAGATTAAGAAAAATGTAAAGAAAGAGTTGTTAACGATGTTGTTTAGATCAACAACATCACATATATGGACTGGCCTGCAGGTTCACTTGATCATTATCCCATTGAACATACTTGGGACATTATTGGAAGTAGTGTTTACGGTCTCCATGTTTACCCCCAGACTCTGGATGACCTTCAGCAGGCGTTTCAGAGAGAATGGCAGAACATTGAACAACAGCAACTTTAAAGGTTCACTTGGTCAATGCAAAGACGTGTAGAAGCTTGCATTTGTGCTCATGGTGGTCATACGCGTTACTGAACACTGCTTCAGTGTCCCAAACTGACTTGAAACTTAATGTTCAACTTTTGCTTCATCAATGCAGCACATTTTGCACGACTGTTTCGCGGGTACATGATTTTGGTGATTTGTAAGTCTATTATTGCTCAATACAATTTCATTTTGTTAATCGTGTCTACATATGTTTCACCTTTCTATTGCATCATTCCATGATTTGCAATTTCAATAAATGAAAATGTAATGAGACTACCAATTTGTGTTGCTTAACTTTTTGTGAGGAGTATAAGTTATAATATATAGTCACATCAGCAGTATGTGAAAAACCGATGCAAGTTTGCCGCACTCGGTACTAAAAGGACGATTCATATTCATAGACTCGAAGTGATATTTCTCACCTAATGATCATATGAGGTAGATAAATTTGTTGTAAACAAATTACAGAAATATTATTGAAGGGTAATGTGAGCATACAGAAGTGAATGTCATCTCTCGTGGAACGTTTTTGTTTCAGCCATACATTTGGTTGTTGTGTGGCTTCCGCTGTAAGCATAAAGACACGCACACTACATGAAAGTATGTGTACACCATTCCCCTTCGATTGCAACGTTCTCCAGCTACGGCCAACGGTCAAACCACAGTAATGCTAACACTGTGCCGACGTCTTAATGCAAGCTAGCGAGATACACATGTTTTATTACCCACGTGGTCAACGTATGGGTAGTTGCATACTAATCTCGTACGTCACACGAGTGTCGCATCGCGTTGACCTGTGCCGTAAGGACTTGACCTGAGATTATAATGATTTGACTGGATAACCGATGACCTCTCTAACGATTTGATGAGAGAATTCTTCCGCCACCTCTTTCTGAAACCGGTTTCAGTTTGAAAGCATACAAATAACCAAAAATACACTATTTTGTCAATTTTATGCAGGTAAGACGTGGGTAATAAAATACCACACTCGTTACCGTCCTATGGTTTCGGACCTCGCTTTCGCTCTGTCAGATACCACAGGAAGGACACTCGTTGATGAGATGTACAACGGTGTTTTATATATATATCTCGCATTGATGTTGCATGTATGTTGTCCCATTGTTCTATGCATGTTATTTAACTCAATCACTCAGGATAAGTAATGAAAGAAATTATGGTAATGTATTTGAGGTCATTTCTTTTAATTTCGTTTTTTGGTTACATATTTCATCAAACAAAACATTTGTTTAAATGTGAGAGGGTTGATGGGGTAGCCTTGTGGTTAAAGCGTTCGCTCGTCACGCCGAAGACCCGGGTTCGATTCCCCACATGAGTACAATGTGTGAAGCCCATTTCTGGTGTCCCCGCCGTGATATTGCTGGAATATTGCTAAAAGCGGCGTAAAACACAACTCACTCACTAACTCACCTACTCACTCACTAGAATGTGAGACACAAGCAAATAATGCCAGGAGATTATTTTTTCTCTTTTTCAGGTTCCTGTGCACTACCTAAAGGTCGTGAATTTGTTGCTGCGTTTTCAGAGATGTATCATCAAGGCTGGTTTCCTGAAATCCACTTTATAATTCTGTCTGACCTCAATACAACTGTCCACTTTGAAAGCATAGGCTTCAACATCTCAGAGGATGTGCATGTCCAGGCAATGGTTGAACACACATACAGCTCGGGATTCCCTTTTCTTCTACGCAGCAAATCTTGAAGTAACAGATATGACTTTCTATATAACCTCCGGAACTGATATTACGCTTTTCTGCTACAATGCCATGGTTCACAGAGGAGAGGGATACGTTGCTTTACCCACTGTCGATTTAGCTACTAAATATATGGTAGTTACACACATCGACAATCGTACAAGCGCCGCACCTCATATTAGTTTACTATATACTGGGAAAACACAAACAGTCTTCCTCGTCCTCGCTACAGAGGACACTACACAGGTTAACGTGAGCTTAAAGGTAGAAGGACCACTAATGGCTGGTGGATGTGGCAATGGTACATTTTTCAACGGAGAAAGAAGAACATTTACACTGGACAAGTATCAGATTGTGGGCGCCTACTGTGACGAGGACATTACTGGGACGTTGATTACAAGTGACAAGCCTGTGGCTGTGCTTAGCGGACACAATCACAAGCGATTCGTGCTCAATTCTAACCCCCTTTTAGAAATGTTGCTGCCACTGAAATCGTTTGGAAGAAGTTTTGTTCTGCCCGACCCACCGACCAAGACTGGCGGGGCAATATACAGAGTTGTCGGCTCCGAGGCAACCACAACGGTTCGCTCTCCGGGTGGCATGTTATTTTCACTTGGAAAAGGAGAATCTCAGGATATATATGTAAACTCTACTACAGGGGCAATGTACATTGAAGCAGACAGACCAGTCACTGTTGTTCAGTTTACACTGAAACTAGCGTCAATGGCGATAGTTCCACCAACGAGCTTATTTGCCAGTGACTATGACATATCAAAACCGGTTTTTAACCCGACCTATGACCTGAAAAATGTGATCGTTACGGTTATTGTCCCAACCGATAAGGTTATTGGTCTACGTCCACAGATATTTCCACAATTCGAGGTAATCAAAGGAAGCTGCTTCTCGGTGGCTACAGCTGACCTTAGTGCAGGATTTTTCCGTCTTCTCCACGTTGACAGTGTCCCCTTTGGAGCAATGATGTACCTAAGTCCGAGTGTTGATAATTATGGTATTTTCACACACCCTGCCGGGTACAACCTCACAGATGATATTGGCAAGTATGCAGAAATGAAGGTGCATGAATGTAATGTTACAGTCAAACTAAACACAATCCTGCATTATTGCAAGACGGCTTGCACAGTATTTATGCTTCATCACAACAGTAGTATGTTGGCTGCACAATGTTCCACGCTTTAGTGGTACTAATGTTAAAACAGTCCCATGAAACATGCCCTTCTGCGTGGCTTTCAACGACTAAGACGACCCTTTGGCGTCTGGAACGAGAAATCACGTAGAAACAATATACACAACGTATAGAATATCAGACTACTAATTCCAGTACACAATGCCTTTTAGAAAGTAGTCAAAAGTAACACGTTACATTTCGGATGCCAGTTTCACAGTACTCAGTAAAGTACAGATTGGAGTACAGTGTTTTGTTGAGTCCCACCCGTCCCAACCACAATCTCACAGAAGGCACTTAAGTACCTTACTTAGAAAGTGTAATATGAAATATAGAGTATGCTGCTAATAAATACGCATGATGAAGCACGGCACAGCCATGTATAGTTTACATGTGGAATTTATTATGTACTGTTACACAAAAGGTTTACTTTGTGGATTCATTTTTCCATTTATATTTTCATATCAGGGAAACTCAGCTGTTCTTCTTCTGGGATTTGCTCTGATGGTCAACCATACCCCTGCGTTTGCAACGAAGGGTACTTTGTATACCACTGCAATGACTGTAAGTGATGCATGTAATTACAAATACCTCTATTTTGTGCTAAGTATTACAGTTCCAAAACAACGGATAGTTTCCATATTCATTATAATACAAAGCAGATCAATCAAAATGGAGGGCTTCACGATATGGATGAAATATTGCTGCTATGACGATAAATATTAACTAATTCACTCACTACTCAAAATTGAGAGATGTCATTAAAAGCAAACTTTGTGGTAAATGGTTTCTGTGACATGGTGATTTGCGTTATTCAAACATTGTAACTTTACAACAGCATCTATGGCTGCAACAACGTCCCTTGTCACTACGACAGCACCTGTGAGGACCTGGGCAACACGTACATGTGTCACTGTGTGAATGGGTCGGGAGGGGCTCACTGCGAGTTTGGTAAATATCAATATACAAACCATCTTAAATTGAGTCGTGGATATGTACAAGATATTTTCAATTTTGTCCGTAAAATGTACTGAATTTCAGGCATCTGTTCATGTACATTCCACAATTATGTGGCCTCTTTTGACAATGGAACCGATTATATACTCAAAGGCAAAAGTTATTGTGATTGACTTGAAGTTAGATAATTATGTGAATTATGAACTGATATTTTTATGAAGAGACTTTTTTAATATTGTAAGAGAAAATCATTCCACAATAGGATTGCAAATGGCACATTTTAAACTTTCCTGGCGGACACATGCAAATGAGGTCCCCGTGAGAGAACACTCAAAATGAAATTCCCAGTCAATAATGTGTATGTCCACCATGAGCATTGATGCATGTTTGGCACCTGCGCCTCATAGAGCCAATCAAACCTCGCAAGAAGTCTTGAGGAATGGCATTCCATATCTGTGGAAGCACCTGGCGTAGTTCCTGAAGCGAGACCGGGGAATATGACTCAATCCCCGCTCCATTTCGTCCCAGAAAGGTTCGATAAGGGACAGATCCAGGGATTTAGGAAGGACGTTAGCATTGCTGAACAACTCTGGCGACATGCGGTCTGACGTTGTCCTGCTGGAAGATCATTCCTGGGCCATTTTTGATGGAGAAACGGTATGACGACTGGATGAACAATTTCCTCTCTGTTGACACCAGGAACTGTTCGAACTGTCAGAGTGTCTGGTTGGAATCTTTGGCGCAGATGGGTGGTTCGAATCCAGTGTGTGGAACAGAATATCAATCCAGCGATGAATGTCGAATGAGCAATAACATCATTGAGACTGTTCAACACCTTGTCAGGGGACGCCCTCCCTTGGCACAAACAGCATATCTTAAAAGACATGATGGCATGGATCTTTGCTCGCCATATCTGTGGCTTCGACCCCGAGGTCCATCAATGGTACTACCCTGAACATATCCATGGCGTCATGGAAGATGATGCTTTTAAACTTCTTTGGAATAGGCGCATATAAAGTTCTTGCCAAAAAACCTTGATCCTGTCCTTCCAGATGAAGCCTTTGAAATTTTTTCCCTTTGAAAGCAATATGAGTAACTTCTTTGAATGGCATTTAGAAGTTGGTGTGATGAACAACGGGGAGATACAACCTCTTTGTTATTAATATGAGTGACGTTTCGGTGTTAGTAGCTACACCGAAACGTCGCTCATATCAATAGCAAAAAAAGTTGTATATCAATAGAAATCTCCCCGTTGTTCATCAATATGAGTGGCAAGATTCAGGAGAATCCTGATAAATATGCAGACCTTGGTTTTGATCTGTCATCCCAAGTACACTGTTGTCAGACCCCCACTGTTATCGGTGCCCTTGGTTTGGTACCTCCTGATCCCTTGGCTCAGATCAGGACAGTGCCCAGGTTCTCCATCTGGAGCGAAAAGGTCACGTGAAGGTCAGATTTGAGATCAGCCATTTTACATGCTTAACTGTTTGGTTTATAATGGTATAGATGATAGGGTATGAAGGTCCAGCTTACTTTCAATTCAACCTTTGTGGAAATCAAATAAGGAAAAATCACACTCTTTGAATCAAAAGAACTTAAATATAATAAAATGGGCAATGGTAATCAGGAATATGATCTACCGCATTTCTAGTCCGTATTTCAAAATTTAGTTAGATACGACCTTTTCTGTAGCCGAAATATTGAATTATTTCATGTTGAATGAATTTCTCAGAAATCTAAAGGCAGTGATAAGGCACTTCACTAAAGTCAGTACTCTATGTTCTGCCCAGACATTTACAACCATTGTGAGGACAATACCTGCGTAAATGGCACGTGTGTGGATGAAATTGATACATTCACCTGTAGCTGCGCAGATGGCTTTACTGGGGAGTTCTGTGAAACTAGTAAGTATCATTAATATGTTGACCCATTAAATTTATTACTGCCGATTTTGCTTTGAATGTCATACATGTAAGATATATATTCGTAACCTTATATGTCACGTCTTTCATGTAAATATATGAAGAGAAGAGAACAGAAATTTGACTGTCACAGAAAACATATTTTGTACTTCAGTAACAGTGTACACTTTTCTTTGTCCTGCTGCTTGTTTTGAATGTGTGCCTTCACTTGATCTAATATTGTCAATATTCTGTATGTCATTTTCAGACATAGATGACTGTGTTCAAGGGCCTTGTGTTCATGGAACCTGTGTGGATGGAATCAACAGCTACACTTGTATCTGTGAACAGGGATACACAGACATGAATTGTTCTACGGGTGACACAAATATTAATCATATATTAGGGATCGAGTCAGCAATTTTGTAGATATTCACGGAAGGGCAAAATATTTCAAATTCAAGCTAGAAATCATTAGTACAGTAAGTAGTAAGCCAACTATGTAAAAGTTTTTGTTTCTGAATGAAACATTGTTAGTATACATACGAGCTCGTACTTTTCAGATATCGATGATTGTCAGAACGGGCCTTGCCAAAACGGTGGCATATGCCAGGACTTCCTTAATTATTTCAACTGCTCGTGTACCCCTGGATTCACCGGACCCCTGTGTAAAACAGGTATTCCTTACTCTGTATGTATTATAATTAACATGGATGTAAACCATTACAATAATATGTAGTAGATGTGATGGGTGATTGCCAAATGCACCACATTCAACCCTTACAATGTGCCGTTTAAAGGTGCAGATGTTTTGTGACATTGATGATATTTGAATGACGTTTACCTAATATCTTGGGTATTGTGTTATACTACAAAAAGTACACATTTATATATATGCATACATACAGTAAAACAATTACACAACTATAAAATTATTCTCCCATTTTCAATATTTTAGATATAGACGAATGTTCCAGTAACCCGTGTGTGAATGGCACCTGCAGTGATCTGCCCAATATGTACAACTGTACTTGCACACCTGGATATGAAGGGATTAACTGTGACTCAGGTTAGATCAATTCTGTTTATGATTTGTGCTCCAAATAATTAGATACGTACCTAAATATTGTCCAGAATGCCCAGGTTTCTGTAATGTCCATATCATATTTTTAATTCAATTGAAAATTGCATAACTTTGGTGTGTCTTTTTTCTAATCCTGTTAATTCATTGTCTATAAAGAGCAGACTAATATATATTTTTTATTAAGTTATTCTTCTAAACGTTAACTGAAGAATACTTTTGTATCTGTCAGTGAAATTTTGCACTTGCCAGTCTTGGTGTGGGCCTACGATCTGGAAAGATTTTGCAAAACCTATATGTAATGCCTATTAGGGTCACACGGTTTTAGATACGATCAACCTTGCACTTCCTGCTAAGATTTCAAAGGGGGTAGTTCTCCTTTCTTAAATTTGTTTGATCAGAGTTCCGTCATTCAAGAGCAAAGTAAAGCTTACAAAATGTTTTGCTAGACATGTGAAGAACATTTCCAAATCAGTTTCCGATGCAAATGATTGTCTTCTGCATGTGTGTTTTACCGGGGAAGGATACACTCACCATTTCGCGAACACTTCATGTCATCACTATTTCACAGTGGTTCCCAAACAAAAATACACATTCGTGATATATTCAGAATCGCAAAATAGAATTGTGGCTATTTTTGGTAGATATCGACGAGTGTTCAACGAACCCATGTCTGCACGGTACCTGTGTCGACCACGTCAACATCTACACCTGTGACTGTGAACCTGGGTATACAGACGGAAACTGTAGCACAGGTGAGAAATTCTTAATTTCTAATTTTGACGAGGCTAAGGTTTACATTTTGCTCCATGTGAATAACAAATGTCTGTGTTGATAAAATGCCCATAGATATATGAAGGAAACACGTTTGTGTCGTGTAACGGGAACATTTGCAAGATGCTGTCTCATCACATAACTGATAGCATGGGCCAAAGCTGAGAGGGGCGGTGGGGGTAGTCTAGTGGTTAAAGCGTTCGCTCGTCACGCCGAAGACCCGGGTTCGATTCCCCACATGATTACAATGTGTAAAGCCCATTTCTGGTGTCTCCCGCCGTGATCTTGCTGGAATATTGCTAAAAGCGATGTACAACCAAAACTCACTCACTCACTCAAAGCTGAGAAGTTTTGAAATGCATCTCACCTGTATCAATTACTTACTGCTCATGGAGTGAAGTATATACACAAACACAGGTAGACACACAACACTATAACATCATACATGTACATTATTTAAACGTGTATCTTTTCCGTTTGGTTTATATAATACTTATTAATATGATTAAATCCAATCGACAATCGTCACGATATGGCTGAAATATTCCTGATGTGACGTAAAATTGTAACTCACTCCAATCGGCAAATGTCATGTATTTCGGTTATTAATGTGACTTGTAGATATCGACGAGTGTGCAACGAACCCATGTGTCAACGGTGCCTGTGTCGACCACCTCAACAACTACACCTGTAACTGTGAACCTGGGTATACAGACATGAATTGCGGTACAGGTGAGGAGATATTTTCAAAGCGTCAAACGTTTTTTTCTCAGATATTGTTTCCATGGAGTTACGACATTTAAGATTAGTAATATTATCAAAATGTTTTACTGGAAAAGCGTGGAGGACGTTTCCAAATTTTCAAATTGGTGACCAAAATGATGTGCGATAATATCCCGTATTTTCAGTTGAACCATATGTTCCCGTGTTTTTGTTGTTTTATTAGATAATCTCGTCACGATGTGGCTGAAATATTGCCGATGCGACGCTAAATATTAACACATATACTCAGACACTTTTCAGATAAACAATTTATTTGCCTCTGCGTGTATTTGGGTCGTTGTTGTGAGCACCTGGAATCGCCACTATTTCATGTTGAGATCAAAAACAGAAAGGCATGCCTCATCAGAACTGGTTAATCCAATGTCACCAGCTGTTCAGCTGAATGTGTTCCCAACCATTATGATGTGCATGAACACTTGTACAAAGTGTTTGTCTAAAGTATTGTTAAACAATGAGTTAGGCCCAATCCACTCAAGCCCTGCCATTTTCAATATTGCAGATATAGACGAATGTTCCAGTAACCCGTGTGTAAATGGCACCTGCAGGGATCTGCTAAACATGTACAGCTGTACCTGCACACCTGGATATGAAGGGATTAATTGTGACAAAGGTTTGGCTATTTAACATAATTCAATCAGTATCCTTTTCCTCAGCATCGCCTAATGCTTTAATGAATAACTTATTTCATGACGACGTTACTCCTGTTAATCAATGATGAATAAATTTCAGAATAATATTCATATATTTTTTAGTAATTTATATTTCGTTTCAACGTTGACAGGCGAAACATTTAATATATGTCGGTATCGTTGGCTACATGTCATCCTTGGAGCGGTTCTGGGCTTGTTAGAAGCCAACATATAATGTCAAGTTGAATATCCACTACGTTTTGTTTAAACTGTTCGGTGCTTGGTCATCTTAGAGAAATTGTATCATATTTACCTCCATCATTGGTCGCCGTTTGGGAATGTTCTGAAATGGAACTAACATTAAAGACAAACCACTGTTATGATTGCACACAAAAATTATATGTAAGGATGCAATAACCCATTTGGTACATACTATGGTTAGACTTTAGCATCGAATTCACCAGATATAGAGGTTCTTTTGCTGAGGGACAGAGTCGCAAGAATGGTCCTCCATAGGCCATATCGGCTTCTTTGTGCACTGAACCAGCAACTGCATTGGATAAACTTGAGGATCAGTGTCATTGAATAGCAAGTACATAATACTTTCCTATTAAGGTGCCTAGAGGTAGCCACTTTATATTTTTAAAAACGTCATGGATATTCCATCATATTCCGGGTTTGGGGTCACATCTTTTGAGGTACGATGCCATGCACTTACTGCGAAGATTTGAAAGAGGGATATACTGCTTTCTTCAAGGTTGTTTGAACAGAGTTATAGTATTAAAGGACTTGGCAAAGCTTTAAGGATGACACGTGAAGAACATTTTGCTTGTCAGTGTCCGATCCAATCGGCTTCTGCATATGTGTGTGACGGGCAGGATTCACTCACCATTTCGCGAGCACTTGATGTCATCATTCATGGCAGTTGTTACTGAAATATACGTTCTTGGTGTATGTGGAATCGTAAAATATAATTGTTTATTTTGTTTTGTAGATATCGACGAGTGTGCAACGAGCCCATGTATTCACGGTACCTGTGTCGACCACGTCAACAACTACACCTGTGACTGTGAACCTGGGTATACAGACCGGAATTGCAGCACAGGTGAAAACTCATTAATGTCTACTCTTGACAAAACTAAGTTTACATGAACCCACATGGAAATAGCTGTGTCCATTAGATATCCATTGATATTTAGAAAACATGAGAATTTTGCAAGATGTAGACTGAAGTTGACGCAGATGTCTTGAGATGCATCTCACCTGTATCAGTTACTAACTTCTCACGGACTGAAATGTAAACATAGGTACATGCACAACACCATGCCATACTATATGTACACTTGTGTTTATTTCGTTTGTGTGTAATATACTTAAATATGATTAAATCCAATCAACAATCGTGCCGATATCAGTGAAATATTGCTGATGTGACGTGAAATTGTAACTCACTCATTCCAGTCGACAAATGTCATGTATTTCGGTTATTAATGTGACTTGTAGATATCGACGAGTGTTCAACGAACCCATGTGTCAACGGTACCTGTGTCGACCACGTCAACAACTACACTTGTACCTGTGAACCTGGGTACACAGGCTTGAACTGCAGCACAGGTGATTAATATATTTTCAAAGCGTCAAACGTTTCTTACTCTGGAGGTTGTTTCCTCGGAGTAACGACATGTAAGTTAGTTCTGTTATCAAAATGTTTTATTGGAGACACGTCCAGGACATCGCTGACAAAATGATGTGCGGCCATACATGTGTTCCCTATTTTCAATTTACCATATGTTCCTGTGGGTTTTGTTTAACTTTGGGATTTTGTTTGGTTTTCATTAGAACACATTTTACATGCCTATACGTGTGTTTTGGTCGTGATGCGCTAGCCTTTTAGCGAACACCTGGAATCAGCACTGTGTGAGATCAGCACTATCCCCATGTCTGGGAGTCAAGTAAAAGCCTTCAATCATACAACGTTCTCGCCAGAGCTGGTTTATCCAACGTCACCGTGTTTTTCAGCTGAATGTTTTCCTGACTTTCTATGATGTATTATTGCGTGTATAAAGTGTTTGTTCAACATATCATCAAATCCTGAGTTCATTAGCCCGTTTCCATTTGTAATATTTCAGACATAGACGAATGTTCCAGTAACCCGTGTGTGAATGGCACCTGCAGTGATCTGCCCAATATGTACAACTGTACCTGCACACCTGGATATGAAGGGATTAATTGTGATTCCGGTGAGATCAATTCTGTTTATGATTCCTACTCGAAATAATTAGACACGTATCTCAATATTGTCCAGAATGCCAAGGTTCCTGTACTGTCCATATCATATTTTTAATTCAACTGAAAATCGCATAACTTTCATATATGATCATAATTATACCTGTTTGAATTAGTTAATTTACTATTGCTGGTATTTAATATAGAGAACTGATAAAATATATATAATAGAATTATCAGGTTGTATACGGTCCTATTCCAAGAAGCCTTACACTTCAACCTTTCCATGATATCCTCTTCCTGTATTCCGTCACACAATGGATGGACCTCTGAGTAAGAACGACAAACATTACGAAGACGATCGAGCCACGCTGTTGCTTAAGATGTGTTTGTGTTAAAGCTAGGCAACCAATGAGTTGGGTAGTGTCATTATGTTCATTATATAAACATATATGTGGTTATCAATGTTAAATATCTTTATTATCATAATGATTTTATAGACGTGCCTATGCAATTACGCCGTGACATAACTTGACAGAAATTAGCGTTAATCTCAACTCACTCAACAATTCACTCTTGTTTTTGTTTACAAATGTATTGTTATGATATTTTATCGCTGATAGTATTTCGACGAGTCCACTTGTTTCACGTCATTGATGTTTCCGTTTCTAGCCATTGATCCCTGTGCAATGAATCCCTGTCAAAACAGCGGTTTATGTACACAGACCTCAAACGGTTTTACCTGCTCCTGTCCTGCTGGTTTTATAGGGGCTACGTGTCAGACAGGTATGGCTGCTTAACATACACACGCATCATAGCGTAGTGAATAGGCACCACAGCATTACACTTAGGAGAAACATCCACATATGACGTTGTTGCGGGTCCAAACAGTTGCTGGTGTATGTGTGTCATCTATGTGTTTTCCAAGGCAGAGTGTTTTGATTTGTGGTCACAAACTAGACCATCAAATGCATAAGCTGTCCGTAAAGATAGCAAAGAAGTAAACATGCATCCATGACGACTGTAATCAACAATATATCGATTGTCAAGGAGTATTTGCAATGGAAATGAATCATGATATGGTGTAATGTAATTTCGACGTGATTACTTCGTTTTGCTATGTTCTATAGGGCCTGTAAGTCTCGCGAAGCGCTACTCCCGGTTCTCTTTGTGATATGCGAGACGGGGCCCGGCTTACTTCCGGTATCAGATTTCCGGTGACAAGCTTATATTCAAGAACCAGTTCTGGTTCCTAATTGCGCGACCGCCAAATATGACTTTACCAGACCGGACCAAGTGTACGTTGTTTGTCACCGGGAGTACTGAGGTCTCACGAAGTGCCGTGACCTACTTACGGGCCCTATATAATATTGCGATTTAAGTATTAGTACTAACCCACACTGCCTATTGTAAAATGCGATACTTTCAGACATTGACGATTGCGCCTCCAACCCTTGTCAAAATGAAGGCACATGTCAAGACCGAATCAACGCATTTGAGTGCCTCTGCCCTGCGAACTTTAGTGGCCTGCTGTGTGATATACTCATGGGATGTACCTGCCCTTGTCTACTGAACAGTACCTTTGACGGCAGTGAACTGGCGGCAAGGATCAAGTGGCTCAAAGAATTATTAACCATCGACAAATCTACACTGTCCAGCACAATACGGAAGAGGATCAGCGTCCCAGACGAAAGGCCCACATCAACCGGAATCGGGTTCAGCGGAATATGCTGCCTTGTTGCGGCCTTTGGATTCTTCGTGATATCAGACATCCTTAACGTCATACAAGCTTTAACAAAAAACACCTCTCTCAAAGACGATCCTGCAAAACGAAAAGTCAACGTAGAAGAATCAAAACGAACATAGAATGGCAAACAAATAAGATAAAACAAGATAGATATGTATACTTGTGTTATTGTGAGTGATCATGGAATCCTAAATCCTCTCTATAAACGTACAGTAACGAGCAGAAAAATGCGACTTTTCACAGACGTAGTTTAAAAATGTATTTACTGATAAATTCAGTTATATTTTTCATACATCCACTCTGGATACTGAAGTTTACATTTATGCAAGTCAATAGTCTGTTAGTCCACCGTTTCTCTCGATGCACTGCTGAATACGGCGTCCCATGCTGTCAATCAAATTGTCTACCTGGGGTAGGCCCACCCATATATGACTGATGAGATTAGACCACTCAACGAAACTCTTCGGTTCCAACTTTTCTAATTTGTCCTTCATAATCTGCCACACATTTTCAATTGGGTTCAGGTCTGGTGATGCCGCTGGAAATTTCTGTAAGGTCACGTGACTCGTTTCAAACCAGTTACAGGTGTGTCTTGACTTGTGTACAGGTGCATTGTCCTGTAAAAGTTTGAAAGGTATTCCACTCTGTCCTATATGGGATTCCACTATGCCTTCTATGTATAAGTTGATCCATCCTTCCTGTATTTGCGTGAATCCATTTGCCTATACCACCCCAAACCATGACACTGGGTGAGAACTTCGGAACCATTTTGCAGCTACGTCCACCTCTTGACCACCTCTTTCTTGTGATCCTATAAAACTGAAATCGTCCGTTAAAATCACATTTGAAACGTCTGTACCCTGCATTTCCCTGCACCACTCGAGCCTTTTCTCCATATGTGCTGTTGTCATCAATGGAACTTTCTTCGGCACTCGCTCGACATATCCAGATTGCTTTAAAGATCTTCTGATTGTCCATTCTGCAATGTATTTCGGCTTTTTTGATAGTAGGATCGAGTCTCCAGAATTAAGTTTTTAGTCGCATTATTTCTGCTCGTTACTATACATGATGTATGATGGTGAGAAAAGGCGACTTTATGGATTTGGCGGTACCTCAATTAAAAACACATCTAGGGTCTCCATTGATTCTCACTTCAAACAATCATATATCATTAATAATGTTATATTGTATGCAATGTTTTCGAACTGGTGCACATAGGATGATACGCTGTATCCATTTGTATTCCATGGGGGAGATGTTTTAATGCATGTATTGTATACAAGTAGTATTGTCTTCTTGTGGACATGTATTTTAAGACGGTTTCGATATATAATGTAGTGTGAGAGTGTTAGGGGTGGTAAGTATCCTGTTTGGGGAGCAAGCCTATGCGAGTCAGACTCGTATATTTAGCGTCACAAAACACACAAGAAAGATTATCTTTTTACCATCTAACGTCTTAATCTGTATCGTGCCGTTCGTGAATTATATTATCATATTTAGTTATATTTCTCACAAACAATATCGAAGCATTGAAACCTTCACTGCAATGTACGCGTTCATATATACTATTCACACTTTGCTAAGGATCAAATCATTGATTCAACAGAAAACTATGACGTGGGATCTAATTTTGTTTAAATATCTAAGCTTATTGTAAGCATAGATCCTAGGTTTCAGTATGTCACTGCATCTTGTGACTCCCATACCTGCTATTGACAGGTGTTGTGTATATATCCGTGTTTACATAAAGTTGTGAATTTTTGTGATCCTTAGCAAAGTTTGAGTAGTATATTACGTCACACTAATAATAAGACAATTGTCCACATTGTAAGTTTTTAGCTTTGTCAGTGAATACCTTTCGTCGTAGTTCATCCAACCACCAGCCACTGGAATAATTGCCCTTTATCAAAGGGAAACTACTCTTGTCGGTGAAGCATCACATTTGTTCATAGACCGACTTTCCTAACGAGATTACAAAATGCAGTCAAAAAAGCAACAAAATGAAATAAGGTAAACTTTTTAATTCGAAAAGAAAAGTTTTTTGGGTACCGTATTTCAGACTTCTATTTGGAATATTTTAACATGTATCCCAGAAACTGGTCCAGGTCCCCGATCGTAAATTCTTACTCGTACTTACCGCGGAGAGTAGTACCAACCTGACCATTTGCCTTTGCATATTTTATATTTTATCCAACATGTACTGCTTGCCTATATGTTTACCATCACAGGAGAAGACAAATTCAAAGTTTCATCTTTGAAGGATCGTTTTTATATCAGTTCGCATTTACTTATCCAAACACCGTAAAACCCCTGTCCTGAGACGGTTATTTAGTCCCATTTCTTTCAATGTATTTTTATCCTCGGTGGTGTTATGCCTTGTATACTTATATGTGTCAAATAACCGCTAGTAGCCAGAGGAATGGTGTACACCAGCTAGGGTCACCATGCATGTAGCACATGTACCGGTTTGGTGGCCTAACTTGGTCTCCCGGTAATCTATAGCACATTATATATTGTGTTGTTATGAAAAGGTATATTTTATTGATTACATAATAATTATATATTTTTGTATGTGATAGTCTAGTTCTTTTGCTGTCCTTTGTCGACAGGTTTCCTTGTCCAGAAATGTATCATTAATGTACATGTATATGGCTTGTTTCAGTCACGATATGGCTATTTTTGTCTATAAATATAACACACTCGTCCACATGCTCACTCATTATCCGTAAATGACGAAAAAGGCTTATGGCAGATTCGGCGGGAGTGGCATCGCCATGATTAAGCAAACCCTGCTCCTCTTTTTATACGGTTTATATGTGGACTTGGATATGTTTGGATATCGCAGGGAATTGGGAACATCTAATACACATCTTAACATGTTTTTCAGATAATTGTAATGATGTGGTGGTGGTGGAATTAGGTTTAAGCGGCTGCTTGTACTAGCCCAGACTGAAGCTGGTTTTATAGTGCTAGCCCACTGAGATACCATGCCGCAGTGAAGCATGAATACCCCACTCAGACACATTATACTGACTCCGACCCGACCAGTCCTTGTTGTACCCATTAATGCCGAGCACCAGGCAGGGACCAACAAGTACCATATTTTAACGTCTTTTGGTATGACGCGGTCAGGGATCGAACCCGCGACCTTCCGCACTCCGGGCGGACGCTCTAACCACTACACCACGGAGGCGGTCAGATAATTGTAATGAACAGGAATGGCATGAGAATATTTGAAAATCAAGTAAACTACCGGTGCACAATAAATATATATCTGTGTTAACTGTTGCATTTGACTTGTCTGAAATATAATTATCTGAATATAGACGTATTTTAGCATATTAATGTGGCAGTAACAGATTTTGTTTGTTTTGCATATTAAGTAGAATTTATGTAAATAAATAATTGAAATTTCATTGCACAGGTTCAGTCATCTTATTTGATCATATTAATCAGCCTACCTTTAACTATCACTCACAGCCAATTCACTGAGCCTACTTACCATATGCTTACAGCATGTTCACTGCTCAACAAAATAACCTTAGCCCTTCCCCACTCAAGCCCTCTTGTCTCAATAGCCACCTTGGGTATTCAGCTAAGCTCTACACTTGACAGTATCTGGTGTCCCCCCGCCGTGATATTGCTGGAATATTGTTAAAAGCGGCTTAACACTCACTCTATACTTGACACATTGGAAGGTCTCCGCTCACTCCACATGCATTCGTCAGAGGTGAGGTGAAGTGAAATTGGGTTTTACGTCGTGCTTGAGAATATTTCGCTCATATGATGACGTGCATGCGTGTGTATGTGTATGTGCGGCTGCTTGTACTAGCCCAGACTTAAGCTGGTTTTATAGTGCTAGCCCACTGAGATACCATGCCGCAGTGAAGCATGAATACCCCACTCAGACACATTATACTGACTCCGACCCGACCAGTCCTTGTTGTAACCATTAATGCCGAGCACCAGGCAGGGACCAACAAGTACCATATTTTAACGTCTTTTGGTATGACGAGGTCAGGGATCGAACCCGCGACCTTCCACACTCCGGGCGGACGCCCTAACCACTACACCACGGAGGCGGTCAGATAATTGTAATGAACAGGAATGGCATGAGAATATTTGAAAATCAAGTAAACTACCCGTGCACAATAAATATATATCTGTGTTAACTGTTGCATTTGACTTGTCTGAAATATAATTATCTGAATATAGACGTATTTTAGCATATTTATGTGGCAGTAACAGATTTTGTTTGTTTTGCATATTAAGTAGAATTTATGTAAATAAATAATTGAAATTTCATTGCACAGGTTCAGTCATCTTGTTTGATCATATTAATCAGCCTGCCTTTAACTATCACTCACAGCCAATTCACTGAGCATGCTTACCATATGCTTACAGCATGTTCACTGCTCAACAAAATAACCTTAGCCCTTCCCCACTCAAGCCCTCTTGTCTCAATAGCCACCTTGGGTATTCAGCTGAGCTCTACACTTGACAGTATCTGGTGTCCCCCTCCGTGATATTGCTGGAATATTGTTAGAAGCGGCTTAACACTCACTCTATACTTGACACATTGGAAGGTCTCCGCTCACTCCACATTCATTCGTCAGAGATGAGGTGAAGTGAAATTGGGTTTTACGTCGTGCTGGAGAATATTTCGTTCATATGACGACGTGCATGCGTGTGTATGTGCGGCTGCTTGTACTAGCCCAGACTGAAGCTGGTTTTATAGTGCTAGCCCACTGAGATACCATGCCGCAGTGAAGCATGAATACCCCACTCAGACACATTATCCTGACTCCGAGCCGACCAGTCCTTGTTGTACCCATTAATGCCGATGCCAGGCAGGGACAAACAAGTACCATATGTTAACGTCTTTTGGTATGACGCGGTCGGGGATCGAACCCGCGACCTTCCGCTCTCCGGGCGGACGCTCTAACCACTACACCACGGAGGCGGTCCATTCATGCGTCAGAAGAATAACATGTCTAGTTGATTTTCTGGGATCTTTCTCTTTGGAAATATCCTTGTATTGTACTCGAAGACGAGGCATTCCATACTGCAGCGTCCCAAGGTGTGAAATAAACCTAAGCCCACACACCTGGGTTTTTTCACTCCCACTCATCTCCAATAAACCATCGGCCATCGAAGAAAATAGTAGCGTCTCTTGTCTGTGCGTGACTGACGGAGCGCTGCTACTTTAAGATGTGGTGAATTGCTAAATATTTGCATGGGGTATCGAACGGTGTGACAGATTAGGCAAATGCTACCCATCACGTAATCGAAAATAAATACCATGTCCTAATTTGTCTGTATTTAAATCCCATAACAAATAAATAGTTACTTCGATACCATTTTCGATATTTCGATAGATATTTGTTTGGGAGACAAAAGAATATACTTATTAGCAGTGCTATAAATGAATTAGAAGATCTTATCATGAGGACAATGTACTTCTTGTATTACCATCTGTCACTGTTCACAGATCTTTGTACACGATCCTATAGCCTTGCTACTAAATATACCAACTGATCAATTGATTGATTGATTGACGGAAGGTTCACTGGACAGTACTATCAGGATACAGATACCATTTGTTGTCCGGTGTGAAAGGACCTAAGTCGACGTTTTGTCTTTCAGAATGACAACGCCCGTTCTCACCGTGCGCAAATCTCCTCACTCACTTCCAGCAGCACATACCAGTGACACCCGTGAAGGTCCGGGTTTGAATGAACCTTCAGTAACCCATGCTTGCCGCAAGAGGCGACTAACGGGATGGAGTGGTCAGGCTGACTGGCTTGGTTGACAAATGTCATCGGTTCCCAATTGCATAGATCGATGCTCATGCTGTTGATGACTGGATTGTCTGGTCCAGACTCGATTATTTACAGACCGTCGCCATATAGCTGGAATATTGGTGAGTGCGGCGTAAAACTAAACTCACTCACTCACATACCCGTGACGATCAGGGGGTAACAATTGATCTTCAGGAACTCATGCTTGTCGTAAGACTAAACGGATCGGGTGGACCGTCTCGCTGATTTAGATGATACATGTCATCGTATCACAATTGCGTAGATCGATGTTTATGCTGTAGATCGCTGGATTGTCTGGCCCAGACTAACATATTTACAGACCGCAGTCTTACAGCTGGAATATTGATGACTACGGCGAACTCGGAATGAATCTGTATGTTGTTGAGATTTTACGTAAGCCTCACTTGAATTGCGGAATTTCAATTTGACATTGTCTGTGGATCCATGTGTGGTTGCCTTCGGTTTTGCTACGTACGCACACTTGGTTGTATGCATGGATGTGTGGTTGCATGGTTGTGTGCATATGTATGTATGTATGTATGTATGTATGTATGTATGTATGTATGTATGTGTGTATGTGTGTTTGTATGCATGCATATATGAATGTATGTGTGTATGTATGTGTGTATATGTATGTATGTATATATGTATGTGTATATGTATGTATGTGGATATATATGTATGTATGTGTGTGTGTGTGTGTGTGTGTGTGTGTGTTGTGTGTGTGGTTGTATGTGTGGTTTTATGTATCTGTGGTTAAATTTATGATATTGTATTATGACGTTACTTAAGTCAGACAATTTTGTTTTGCTAATTTTGTTTCAGGTTTTGGGCCAGAACCAATATCTTCCGCCAGCTGAATAGATTTGGTACAAACTGCGGCACTAAACATACCACCCATAAACTCACCTAACAACCCATCAGCTCATCAGTTCAGCTACTACTCTGGAAGTGTACATCCCTCACTCACCCACCCACTGAAATATACAGCTTCACAGAAAAAGTATACTTGATAGAATACATGATTCAAATATTTATTAAGTCACACAAATGCTACTTACACAAACAACGTTTCAAACATCAAATAATCACAATATAAAACATGATATCATCCTACTTACCAATATCAACGAAATTTGGATGAAGGTACTTATGAACATAACCTTCATCTCTAACAGTGAAATATGATATGCATTTGTTGGTTTCATCATGTTTGATTTTTAAATGAACATTTGTTAGCGATACAATATTGAAACTGATCTGTAGCAGCGATCATCAAATTGCTACATGGTTTAATTGATTTGAATATACCTTGAATAAAACTTTGAAAAAATAATATATATTTCTGATATACACAAAAGCTTACGGTTGTTCACGTTCTGTTTTTAAAGGTCAAGGCTTTTGCCTTCTTCGGAACAAATATACGTTTCCTGCTTGGTTGTTGTCATGTGATTCTTACCCATATTGACCAATATTTCACGCAATATTACCCAATCACAACTTCCATTTCTACAAATTGTTGCATAAATAAGGTATGGTTAAAGTTAAAGTTCAAATTGAACAACATTTCTTTCAATTTTCAATTTAATAAAATGGTAAACTGTGTACTAACTCGTAAGCTAAAGGTAAACCCAAATTCAGAGCGATTGCTTCAGTCAATCTGAACAGACAATAGAGTGAGTGAGTGAGTTAATATTTAACGTCACATCGGCAATGCCTCAGCCATATCGTGATGAAAACAATTTATACAACAAAGATGAAAACATTTTGAAGAGTAAAACCTGTCGACCATGGACAGTAAAAATACTAGAGTATCACAGATCTGAATATAAAACTAGCATGTAAAACTCAAACATTTTAATTAACGAAGACAATACAATATAAAACACGAGTATAGATCGCCAACAACTGAAGATAGATCACCATACTAGGGACACAGAAAATAGAGGGATAGTATACATTTGGTTATCAAATGTCGACACCATTCAAAAGTGAGAGTTTACATTCTATACGCAGAACAAACATACAATCGAGAAGAGTTTATATGACACGTGAAAGAAGTTATAGTATAGACATAGTCAAAGTTTACAACATAACATGTCATGTAAAACGAAAACTCAGCAGGTCATTTCTTGAAAATCATCATGCATATCTATGAGTATTTACAAGGCATATTATCACATCCATATCTCAGTATCTGTCGCTTCGACTCTTAATGTTACCTTTAAACTTATATATATTTAGTTTAGTCGGTGCACGGAAGGCAACAACGAATCATGGCACGTATAAATACAGTCTTCAAATGTTATATTTGTTTGTTGCAATTTGTAGCAATTTTCTAGCTATATGACGTCGGTCTGTAAATAATCAATTCTGGACCAAACAATCCAGTGATTGATATCATGAGAATCGATTTACGCAATTGACATGCGTTAACCAAGTCAGCGAATCCGACTTCCTGATCTCATTTGTAACCAATTGTACCAATAGAAACAGCTTCACGTGTATCAAATCTGTACTGACTCATTTTCCAGTTACGAAGAGGATGTTTGTCATGTGAACAATACAACTATGTACAGTACTAAATACTGAACGGATATACAACACAATTATTAATATTAATGTCATCAAATAGGTGAATATATATTGCATTCACTTGCATATATACAAAACTACCTGGGCCGAATACAAAAGTAAAAACAAAACATACGTATTCTGAAAATAAATCATGCAAGTTTAGAAACATTCAATGAGACATCACTTTCAACATTTATAACATTTACACCGCTTCAAATGTCATTTCTTGTCTTCTTGCTTAGACATTAAATGCATACCAAAGAGTATTTTACGGCACTTCTCATTTCATACCCCAAATCAGGAACCCAACATCATCAGCCTGGTGTTGGTGGCAGGTATTGGTGTCTCCGGGTGAAACATATCATATATGTGAAATCTTTTAATCATCCCTACCTTCCTCAGTGTATCAGCCAGTCTAGCAACAGTTTCTTTTATAAAACGGTGTATCTGTTATCCAATGAACTAAAAACAAATACAGGCATAACTTTGATTTGTTTAGAAGAGTTAACTCAAACAATAGTTTAGTTTGAAGAAAGATTAAAAGGAAAGAGATCCAATATACATTCAGGTATTATGTATGCCCAACATTTATGAGACATCTCTATTTAGCGCTGTCTGTTTGTAAACGTCGGAACTAGTTGAATTGTGTATAGAAATAACATTTTCAGCATTTTACAACTTTAGACGTGCATGTACAATCGATCATGTTCTTTTTACAAGATTTCATAGAGCGCCATTAAACCCTTGCCAAGAAAGTTACTGTTTTTATGAACTCAGTAAAACTTCCGGAACGTTTCATGGTTGACATGCGCAGGGCATTTCCACATTTGACATAACAGTGACAACAACGGTATCCGAGAAGATTCTCTGGTTGGACCAGTTCCGATGAATGTATTCCATGTTCTTTTGCATTTGTGGGACAGGATACGGTCATCTTTATGGAGACACGTAGTACATCACTATGTGATCGTGATTTCATGAAGTCATGCTCATGATTAAGTACACTCGACTCGGCTTTTGTGTGAGGTTATATTCATATGTGAAAGGGTTCTGTGGCTTACATTGCTCTGGACAATGCAGAGTGATGAATTGCATATTATCAAAGACTCCAGGAATCATAGTGGGTCCATGTTCAGTTTCAGACATCAAGCTACACAAATTGTACCTGTTTGTATTCTATTTTCCACTTATATTTTGGGGCTTCATAAATAGCAGAATTCGAAATGATATTATACAAAGCATCGTCCAAATCATTTGCTGTTACCTATTGCAATAAGTGTAGGTATCTATTGTCTATGTTGTCACGATACGTTCTTGTCCAACAAAAATCTTTTAATAAAACATGATTATGTAATAAATATTAGCCTGTTGTTTGAAATGACTTTTCAAAGTGGATTTCCATTGTACTACATTATAACAAATCAAGTCACATAAGACGGGTACACTGTCTTGAGGCGGACACTGTGTACAACACTGCCACACATTGAACTTCCTGTTTGCACAGGACAAGGCAGTCTTCCAGGTACTCGAGTTCCTCAGTCACGTACGGGGTAGCCGAAACTGACTCTTGTGAAAACAGCGTCTGTCCATGAGCTGAAAGCAAAATTCGTCCCGAAGTGAGTTTGTGTTCGACTTTGTTTTATAAATGGCTTCTGTATGCAAAATCGATATTTGTGACAAGGGGAGACCAGCTGGTTAAACGAATACTGACATATATTTTCACATGTGGCAAAAACAATTGCTGTCCAGACAAGTCAGCAACTAACTGCCCACCCTCCCTGTGGCGTCGATAGCTCTAGTGGTGCAGAAAAGCTGGCAGTGAGCACAAACCTCGGTAGAGACATTTAAGATACGTGACTACAGGCCTTTAAGAGAACGAATGTCAAGCCACGTGTTCTTATTCGCTTTGGTGGCGTTATGATCTGGGGTGTCAATATATTAACAGGGCGGACTAAAATGATGGTGATTCGCCTTGTGTTTTTAATTCTTTGGGGATTGATCTCTGAAAATGAATGACAGTAACTGTTGTCCTCGAAAACTGTGATCGGGTTCAAACCTAATGGTATCACCTTATATATACTAAAATGGAATACTCAGTCTTGACTTTTGTAAAGGGCAAAATCGCATTGAACATTATGTGAATGTAACGCTGAAAATCAGTATGATGCCATGATTTGGCGGGACCTAGATGGACGAGATTAGGGAAACGCTTTTATTTCTCTGTTCTTTTCTGCGACATATCACGTTGCAGCTAACATCCCAAAAGTTATGATTTTGTTAAGGAAAGAGTAGTCACAAATTGTGGTGTCACATCGATCATCATGTTCCACATTACTTACCTCCTTCCGCTGCCTTCTTATAGAATGTTTCGGTGATCGCGGGAAGGGTAGTGTCGAGAGTTGTGGCTTGGATGTTGGTGTCTAAAATATTAAGTGAGTGAGTTGAATTTTACGCCGCACTCAGCTATATGGCGGGTGTCTGTAAATAATCGAGTCTGGACCAGACAATCCAGTGATCAACAACACGAGCATCGACCTGCGCAATTGGGAACTGATGACATGTGTCAACCAAGCCAGCGAGCCTGACCACCCGATCCCGTTAGTCGCCTCTTACGACAAGCATGGGTTACTGAAGATCAATATTCTAACCCGGACCTTCACGGGTGGTTTATGGGATAAGACTATATTTGGTTCAAAATGTTTGGAATCAAAGTTTGAAGTATCAACGTTGCTTGTTCAACAGAATGGTCCAAATTTGCATAAAATGGGCCGGGGACAGAGCCAAACGACCGCTGTTAACCCTGGATCACAGACCAGCACGACTAGCTTGGTGTCAAGCTCGACCTCACTGGAATTTGACTTCTTGGGGAAGAGTCAACTTGTAGGACGAAAGTCGATTTCTTTCGTTCTTGGCTGATGGTCGAGCTCGTGCTCGGCGCCGCAGAAACGCTGCATATCCACAATAGGATATCTTGGAGCAGGTTCCGTTTGGCGGGGGTTCATTGATGGTGTGGGTACCTCTCACGTGTCTGTAAACTTGACCTTGTGACGATCAGACAAAATCTGAATGGACAACGGTACATCACTGGCATCCTATACAAAGTTGTTCCACATATCGATGACCATTCTCTGGACACAAGGCCTTCTTCATGGACAATGGTAGGCCACAGCCTACGTCAAGAGGCGTGAGGTTCTGGGATGTTATTGAGTGAGTGAGTGAGTGAGTTGAGTTTAGTTTTACGCTTCACTCAGCAATATTCCAGCTATATAGCGAGGTCTGTTAATAATCCATTCTGGACCAGACAATCCGTTGATCAACAGCATCAGCATCGATCTACGCAATTGGGAACAAACGACATGTATCAACGAAGTCAGCGAGCCTGACCACCCGATCCCGTTCAAACAGGAACATGAGTCTCCAACATAAACCAATTCAGACAATGACCTACCTTTCAGCCGATCCGAATTTTCTCGTGTGAAAGGGAAAGAGACACTACAAACAACTATGATTACACGAAATTCCAATTCCTTGTTCCATAAGAAAATGGTATTTACGAATGATGGATTTTTATTTTAAACTTTGAAAACAATGGTATTTCTATATTTTTAGGTTTAGGCAGCATATCGTTAACAAAGACGTCACAGACTGCCCCTGTTTGAAGAGGTCGTACAATGATTCACAATTCATCTGGCTCACTGGTTACACCTCTTATGTGTTCTTTGCGCTTATTAAGTGTATTTCTCAACAATCTGATTGATATAATATCAATTCCTTACAAGACCGACAAACTTTTCTAGCGGCTAGGCCTCGTTTTGAGATTTCCACGATTTCCGTTTGTCAGAACACGCTGTACGACAGAGCACGCTGCACGACGTGCAAGGGTTAGAAGGAGCGTAGTGTTGCAATATACAAGTGATTAGATGTTCAAATAATACTGATTAATACTTATATATCCAGTTGAATGAGTTGGTCAGAACTTGTAGACTGGTTATTGTACTAAGTTTCGCAATAGGACGGAACCCAGTCAGCAGGAAACGAGACTGTTGTGTAATCAATGTTTTGACTTGGTCGCCTCTTACGACAAGCATGGGTTACTGAAGATCAATTTTAACCCGGATCTTCACGGGAAGGCATGTTATTGCAATTGGAGGAGGGTACAGCAGATATTGACATTATGTACTGCAAATTCATCAAAATTGTTAAATTCAGATCACACATTTTACAAAGCAGCCAGTATGAATGTATTTCTAATTGTCACTTTCTCTTTTGCATCCGATTATTGACATGATGAGCTGGGATGACAAAGGTTTTACCTATTTGACAGACTGTGCCATTGAAGCCCACAGGACAGCTGCAGGTGAACCCATCTATTCCATCTACACATGTGCCGCTATTCACACACGGGTTGCTGGCACACTCGTCCATGTCTGGAAAATATGGAATGTTACTCATTTATTTCCCAGTTGAAACTAAAAATCTGCACGTAAAAGACATTTTTAACTACCTTCCTTTTTCAGGATGTTCTACAAGTTTCGAGAATAATCTTGATTACCTGTTACCAGTAACACCGCCAACTGTCCTTGAATGAATCGTAACAGAAACAATGCGTTACAATAAAAACACTGTTCTACAGTATAGCACTTGGTCTGTCTCGGAGTTCCTTTCTGTCTGGCCCTTTCGGCAATGCTAAAGCCCTAAATGAAGCGAGGCTTCCCCCAGCTGGATTCCCCCAGCTTCTGAATCTTCTTCTCACTTGGGCTCCTTTTCATTTCAAAAAGAATTCTTTGTTTCTATCAGGGCGGTGGGGTAGCCTAAGGGTTAAAGCGTTCGCTCGTCACGCCGAAGACCTGGGTTTGAATCCCCACAAGGGTGCAATGTGTGAAGCCCATTTCTGGTGTCCCCTGCCGCGATGTTTCTGGAATATTACTAAAAGCGGCGTAAAACCAAACTCAGTCAGTCAGTCTTTGTTTCTATCAAAATTATATATATATATATTCATAGATTAAACGTTAGTCTGTGTAGCACTAAACCATTATGCAAGTTTAAAACTCATGGCCATTAAACTGGCCATGCACTGACCATATACTGGCCCATGGTTTATGTGTGGCTGGGTGTTTAATATTACTTTAATAGACGATATAGTTCTTAAAGCATTTGGGGATTGTTTTGCATTTGTATGCTAATACGTATAAAAGCTTACTTGTCTGACATTCTTCTCCAGTATAACCAGAAACGCACGTGCAGGAATAGGCGTTGACAGCGTCAACACACGTGCCGTTATTCTGACAGGAATTCCCGGGACAGTCGTCGATATCTCCAATGAAGAATGAAGATTCGTCAACCAAAATTACTAACAGTTCCAACACCATGTCCTTGCAATCAAGTACAAAAGGACGAGACAGTATCGTTCAGTTCCCGAGGCAAATAGTGAAAGATTTCACAGCGTTCATGATAACCTTTCAGTTTTAACAAAACGGCCTTTCATTCAAATTATCATAAACTTACAACGTGTTATTTGTATGATACACAAATCATGGAATGACAACTAAAGACGTGTTTATATTCTACAAGGTAGATATTTTGAATTCACTACAGGTAAGTTTGTTGTTAATATCAGGATGTACACCTTAGTATTTGTCATTTAGTGTCAACAATCTACCTGTCTTTACAAATCCACTTTCATTCAATCAAAAAGCCTGGGTAGGTCCTGTGATGAAAGCAATTTCCTGAAAACATGCCCTTAGTGTTTGCCAAAAACCATAATTATCTATCGAGTATGTTAACAAACAACACACTTGTCACGTCTGTAGCTTTAGGGCAATAAACTCTTTCTCCTTGGCCTATATCAGTACATGTCCACGTTGGACTGGAAATAATCTAATAAACATAAACACAAGGCCAAAACAATCTTAAAAAGGCAGGTTTATGGACGATCTAAACTCCAATAGTCTTCAAGCCATCAAAGGGAAACGAGGCGTTCGGTTGTTATAAAAATACACTGCACCACAGGTGATCATAATTACATATATGTCTTCCAGTGACAAACACAATGATTTTTAAAATTTTACATTCAAATGCAGTCCCTTCAAATTGTGGATTTCCTTATAAACTTTAGGTATAAGTATTCCTCTGCAAGTGTTTCTCTATAATGGTATTAAAGGAGGAATTGGAATGTCGTATTCAAGGTGAACCCAATTATCAGGAAGAGAACTTGCAACTAATCGACATCTGTTACACTGGTGAGTGAATTGATGCAGCAGAATGAACATAAAGAACGTTGCAATCAGTTTCAGAGACCTGTCAGTAATGAGCAAACGGAAAAGCTCTTCAGGACAAAAGAACGCCCGGGGATATATTATTGTCAGCGAGAAATCCATATAAGATATGTGAATGTTTTTCACAAATAGGAGGAAAGTAAATAACATAACCTCGGTAACGCAGAACAATATTAATAAAACACATAAATACAATTTAGAACGCTTAGAACATTATGTCCTCTTGAATATGTTGTACAAATTACAGATTGTTGTATACGAATCAGTACTTACCAATGTGTTCATTAACAAGGCTTTAACTATAGAAAAGTATTTAAATCAATATGAAAATCTAATCTTAGCTGATCAGATTTCTATAACATCCGATGATATTTACATGTAGGTGGGAAATGTCGATGTTAAGAGCTTTCTGATAATAGCTGTTGAACGTCAACCGTCAACATCGTTATTTTCTCATCTTCCTTCATCCATTGCCTGTTTTTACATTGTCTTGTCATTTCTAGTTAAAATGTTTTAGATTTAATTACTAGTTTTAAACGGATATCTGTGATACACTAAATATATAGTAGTTTTACTGTTCTTCGTCAACAGGTATTTATTTTCTAATTTCACTGATCTCTAATATAGTTTTTAATTGTCACGATATGGCTGAAATATTGCCGATGTGACGATAAATATTAACTCACTCACTCACTCCATCATCCATAAGTGGAATTGTAGATGATTTAGAGCTACTATTAATGATCTTCTTCAACAAGAGTTCGATCCCTTTGCTCTTTGTCTTCAGGAAATATTAGTGACAAAGTAGAGTCGAATCCACACCTGTGCATATTGCTTCAGAAAAAACAAATTCCAAATTAGTTTACCCACCTAAACCGAGATCAAATTTTAAAATACTTCAATGAAATTAAATGAATTAATATATTGTCAAAAAAATGGTGATGGTAATAATACACTGTTCATTTTATTTTGGTTTGTTCACAATGATAACTAAGACTTTTGAGAGGAGATGGGAGAATTGTAGAGAAAACTTTAATGGTGTTCTTCAACAAGAGATTGATCCCTTAGCTCTTTGTTTTCGCGAAATATACCTGAAGGAAACTAATAAAGTAGAGAGTTACTTATCACAGCTATTCATCAAACACTGGCAAAACGTCAGGTGGTGTATCCATAATGGGTCATCAAAACATACTTCGTAGTCCAGTGCAACTTAAGACTGATCTACAAGCCGTTGAAGTGAGACAAACTTCATATGTTGCTATTACACTGTGCTCATAAGAAATACCACCTTCAACTTCTCCGCAACTGGAGACGTTTCAGATTTTAATTGATCAGCTTCCAAGGCCCGTCATAATAATATAGAAGAGGTAAAATGATAGCAGTTTCTTATTAACAACGATCTGCGTATTCATAATAACTATTCCAATACGTACCTGCATCCGGCTACTGGGACATATTCGGCTCTCGATCTTACAATTGCAGATCCTTTTAAACGAACAGACAGTATTTTTAACAATATTACATCCAATGAGGAAGCTAAAGATTCCAGATGGAATTTTATTGACTGTGACTGGACCTTATTCCAGCAGCTATGTAAGGATAACCGTTTCTCTGAATACTATCAGAATGTAGATGACGATATAGAATCATATTTCCAAGGATCTCTTTAACATTGCCATAGGCACAGTTTAGAAATCATTCCCCGTATCAGTAAATCATGGTTCAGTAATGATTGCAGAGAGGCTAGAAAACAAAGAAAACATTCTTTAATGCCCACCCATCTAAGCACATCTAAACCATCTTAACATATTAAGAATAAAAAGGCTCGAAGTGAGTGAGTGAGTTAAAATCTATCGTCACATCGGCAATATTTCAGCCATATCGTGACGAGAACAATTAATTTTATACATAGTAATTAATGGTAAATTGTAACAACCTGTCAACGAAGGACAGTAAAATAACCAGATTATCACAGATTCGAATTTAAAACTAGCAATTAAATCTAAAACAGTTTAACTATAGATGACAATACAAGGTAAACCAGGCTATATATTGCCAACAACTGAAGGTAGATCACCATACTAGGGACCATGGGGACTTACAGTACATTTGCTTCCTGCATGGACCCTAGCTGGATTTACACCATCCCCTCAGCTATTAGCAATTTAAGATGATCTAGCCACAGATTAAACGGACATATATTCTACGATTAAAAAAGGGAAGAGCTTAAATTTACTTTGAATGTTTTGGGACTTATGTATCCTCTCAGGAGGACAATCATTTTACAGTACTTTAACCCCCTTCGAGGACACAGCCAAAAACAATCTGAGTTATTAATTTAAACTTTCAATAATAAAATATTTACCTATTTACAAATCAGTTAACAAATCTAATTCTTTTAAAAATGCAATAATTAAATGAGAACTTATATTACTAAAAAGATCCTTCATAGTTCGTGATTTGAAATAGATATCCCTTGTGATGGAATATTCAACCCAGTCAAGCAGGACATGCTTGACTGTGATTCTTTCATCACAAGGGAAACAAAACGGAGGATCCTCACCTTTTAATAGGTACTCATGAGTATACCTTGTGTGTCCATTACGACATCGTCGCAGGATGGCCTCTTCAAATCTGGACTGACAACCCAAGTAGGTGTAACCGATAGTTGGTTTTATTGCATGTAATTTATTGATACCTACTTGGGTGTCCCACTTCTTTTGCATCAGATCACGGATGTAAGTTCCAATGCTAGCTTTGTAATCAGGGTATGGAATAAAAAGTGGTGTCACAGATGTGTTAAGTGCTGCCTTGGCAGCAAAATTGGCCAGTGTGTTCCCAGAAATGCCAACATGACTGGGTATTCAATAATTTCGATTAAAAGTGGATGTTTGGAAAAAAGATTTTTAATAGCCTGAAGGGAAGAAAGAGAATCGGAAAAGATTATGTATTGTTTATATTTAGGGTGTTTATTGATATATTTTAAGGCTGTTAATATTGCGTTAGCTTCTGCTTTGAAAATAGAGCTTTTATCAGGCAATCTAGAAGATATTGTTTTTGAGCCAATGACAATGGCACAAGCTACTGCGCCACCATCCTTGGACCCATCTGTAAATAAGGATTTGTATGTATTATATTTATTTCTTGGCATTGCGGTGGAACCTCATGTAAAAGATGCTAATTTGAATCTCCCTTCGATAGCGAAATATCAGATATACTTCGATAGCAATGTACACAGTCTTTAGTCAATCACGACTTGACCAGACTGAAAAAGGTTAATACCAATTCATTACATTATCGACAATCTTTTCTTGAGCTTAAAACCAACTACCCCTATTACGAACGCACATATCTACCGTCTGGTTAAAGGAACGGGAGACAGTAGCAGCTGCAGCCATTAATACCGATGGTATATTCTCACTGATGAGACTTAAAATGATATTCACAATTTACCCATTCCTTCATTCTAAAGGGCAATGATGCTCCTATGTGCATTCCTTGTCAATGCCAGTATAACATGAATCACATACTTCTAAATTGTGTGGATACTAAATTGATACGTGAAACATATTTTAACGTTTCTACTTAAAAAAAACCTTTTACACAAGTTCATATATAAGATTATATCACTTTTAAAAGAAATTGTTTTTTATGAAGCATATAGCTTTTCACAAAATTGTCAGGATTTTTTATTACTGGTAATTTATATTGCCTTTGAGATCACTCTTTTTAGTACTGTTCTTTATGTGGAAGTCATAGTTACTGGTTCTCGCCGCGAATAGCTGGAAAGTTAAACATGTGGCCGCGTTAAGCAATATTCATTCTTTAATTCATTCATGCGAGATTTCATGTATAATATTCTTATGGATCTGTGAAGAGTGTTAGTGCTATTGATGAGAAAGTTACTTGCCTGTCTCTCTCAACGTCAGTATGTATCCAGCAGTGCCGTTACACGTATACGACTGCAGTAGGTCAACACATGTGCAGTGTGTTTATGAACACATTCATTCCTTAGTGTATTTAAATGCTTATTTCCTAGACACACGCATTAAAGCCAGTCACATAATAGCCACACAAACACAAATTGCAAATAAAATGGAATTTTTAAAACACATTGTCTATCATACAAAAAATATTTAGTTCTGTGTTCTGTGTAGTGTTTCACAGGAGAGGTTCTTTATAAATATAAACGTTAAATGTATAGATGAACATTTTATGCCTACTTTGATTTTGACAGATTAAACAGTAACCATCTTTGTAATACCCAATTCGAACAATTTGCATAAAAACTCTCCACATAACTAGAGATATGTATTAAATTTCAGAAAGTTTGAGGTACATTTTTCAAAAAGCACCAGACATCTCTTGCTCAAGTGTTTTTATCAAGGTTACAACATTCAAGGCCCCAGTAAAGCTTTCAAAATACATGATTCATGGTAGACATATGGAAGACATTTCCAAATCAAACGTTACAGTTCCAAAACATTCCATCTTATGACTCGTACCATTGTTTCAAGTGTTTACAGGTGAACAATTGATTTGCCTTAGCGTGTATTTATGAATGGTGACACTGTTGGGGCAGGATACGTTCACCTTTTCGCAATAAAAAACCTGTTACCAGTATCTGCTAATTCAATAAGAAACCGTCGGAATCGACTTTTAGAACTGATTTTATACGGGTGGGGGAGGGGTTTTGTCGCTTTCCTTTCACTCTCAATACAAAGTACAGTCATCTTTATTGACATTGCATCATAGATACCAGCTATTTACCATTCTCGCAGTGTGCACCTCCCGTTCCATTGACACAGTCACACTGGTACAGGTTCGTCAGGTCAGTACAGTTACTGGAGTACTGGCAGGGATCCATCGTGCAGCCGTCTGAAGCTTGAACAATTGAAAACACTTAGATCAGTACAAAAAAAGACATTGCTATGGATAATCACAAACATACCTTGATGATATCAAAGTACATGACAATTGTACATGTAGGTCGTCTAACTGACTACGACAAACTTCCTCATATAACTAAGCAGGCTACAGATACGTTCCGTCCACATCACATTACAGCTGACTTGGTGGAGCAAGTTGTAAACGGGGCGGTGGAGTAGTCCAATGGTTAAAGCGTTCGCTCGTCACGCCGAAGTGTAAAGCACATTTCTGGTTTTCCCCGCCGTGATATTGCTGGAGTATTGCTAAAAGCAGGGTAAACCCAACTCAATCACTCACACACTGGATGGTTGATAAACGACTGTCAAATTATGTCTTCTTTCATTCTTCTCTGGAATTGATGTTGCAATACCACTGTTAGTGAAGACAGAAAGCAAAATACATTCCTTGTGTCGCAGTGAAAATACTTACTGTCATTGCATATGTATTCAAAATATCCTGACGTACACGAGCAAGGATACGGAGTCCCATCCGAACACACAGTCGATGAGGGACACGTGGATTTATCTTGAAACCAAGGATTACAACATTATACATATATACATATATGAATTATATCACGTCTCTACACCAGAGATTAACCAATCTATTATAAAGGTAAAATAACAGTGAAAACTGAAAATACGTGATGACACCAGGTGGTCGATATAAGAATATTCATGTCCTGTCCCACCACTTGTACAACACCGTACATTAGAACTCCTGGAATTACGTCATGGACATGAATCCAGTCCGTGACAGCACATTTTAATAATTTGTAGAACTGAACTGATTTGTTAAAAGAAGGCTATTTTTGGTACAGGTTTCATTGCTCAATTTCGGGAATTGTGGTAATATACATCTGTGCATAAAATAAGCACCACCCTGTATTTTTACCAACTAATTTTGTCTGAAATGAAATTCTAAACTCTTTCCAAAAAATAACCATTATAATTTGATAGAGCAAGCATTTAACATTTAACATGTCACAATTTAATTCTGGAATCACAAAAGTCCGGAAACTCTCCGCACTGTGGGTACTTTCTGCCAAGGGATTCGACCAAACTAAACATGCAGTTGTTATGAATATGTGCTAAGGATGAAAAAATGAAAATAAAAATTTCGAAAACTTTAAATTTAAACTCACTCGCCCATGGGCAGGAATGTTTGGTTTCGCTAAGAATTCTTGTTTTGAAGGTTGTAAATGAATGAGTGTATGTTTATAAGTATCATGACACAAATTTCAACTCATTTTGACTTAATTCAGCTAATTTAGAGCGATATTAAAAAATCTCGCCCATGGGCGAGAATATTTACTTTTACTCAAAATACATGTTTTTCCGTGTTGTGGAGGTTGTAAATAAATGAGTGTATGTTTATAAGGATCATGACAAAACAGTTAAATTGTTTGGACTTATTTCGACTAATTTAGAGTGTTATTTAAACAATCTCGCCCATGGGCGAAAAACATTTGGCCCATGGGCGAGAATCTTACATTTGCTCAAAATTCATTGTTTTGAAGGTTGCAACTGATGAAAGTACGTTTGTAAGTATCATGATACAATCTTTTGACTTAGTTCGGCTAATTTAGAGCTTTATAGCAAATATATCGGCCATGGCCGAAACTATGTACTTTTGCTCAAAACTCAGTAATAAATGTCAGTCCACAATGGGCGAAACAGTTTGACCCACTGGCAAGCTAACCTAATTTCCCAATTAATTTGTTAGGGTTTGCGAAAAAACACTTGACAAAATTATTTCTATATTTATGAAAACAGAATAATTACTTCATTTTATCCTTTTGATCAAAGTTGGTTGAAAAATAAAGAAATGACAACAAATCACTGATGAAAACGATGAGTGTGAGTGAGTTAATATATATCGTCACATCGGCAATATTTCAGCCATATTTTGACTTGAACCAATTAAACATTGATGAGGAATCAATGTATAGTATATAACCTGTCGTCAAGGGACAATAAAATATCCAGAATATCAATCAGATTTAAACCTATCATTTAATGTTTATATAATAGCACTATTTGGACAATACACAAAATGAAAACACGTTTTAGACAGCCAGCAACTGAAGGTAGATAACCATTGGGACTTTTGCTACCTGCTACAAGGACTTACATGGTCCCTTCATACGTTGTTGATTGTGCACAAATTTAGCCATCACTTCAAAACACAAGTATCCAACTATTATAAACCTGGTATATCTAACTTTACTTCAAATGATCTATGTAATTAGCTGAATAAATATTGCATGAGCCTGGTACAGCTATAATTGTTTATAAATGTTGGTGGAACAGTCTAACTGATGGAGGAGAGAGAGCTAGTAATTAAAAACCACTCGAATGGAACAGGTTGTGTATTGGATTGGTAGTCAAACTGGGAGTAGTCATAATGGGAATGAAACCCTGCATCAATACATCTTCAAGACTAAACGAATTGATAAGTTATTCTAGACCAATATTTGTATACAATTAATGAAATGTAACTGTGCACATTTATCCTACCTCATGTAAGAATGTCTATCTCTGATGGGTTCACGTGACCTTGAACAAATTACCATGTATGCCGGATGCAGTGAAGCAGTGGTTCAAATCGACTAGTCAATACCATGTTAGTAAAACATATGATTGAGTTTCAGCTTGTTTTGATGCTGTATTTACATTAAGAGTGAGTGAGTGAGTTAATATTTAACGTCACATCGGCAATATCTCAGCCATATCGTGACGAAAACAATTTATACAATAATTTACATGAAGAGAGATGCAAACATTCGTTAAGATAAATCCCGCGTACTATTGTGATGAGGGGTATACGGGGATTTATGCGTCCCGTTTTATCCACCTAGCCGAAGGCGTCAGCGACAATTTGGCTGGTGTATAAAACGGGACGCATAACACCCCGTACACCCCTCATCACAATGCTAGAACTCATGATAGGATTTAATTTGTGCTTTTGTGTATCCAGTTCTTGAGTATTCTGTTATATTATATATGTACTGGTGAGGTATCAATAAAAGCAATGTTTTGCTTGTTTACCAAACCAGATTCTCTGAGGATAAAAATACGTCTAAACCACATGTTCAAAATTGAAATACAATATGAACATGCACACAATAGCTAAATTGAAAGGCACATCGTGCCAAACAAGGTTTTCAAGAGGATATACACATAAATGTCAATGTCTTTTACAGACTAATATGTGCACGTCTTGAGAAAAGTCAAAGTTCCTATTCCTATCTCAGTAAACGGATTGTTCAATCACACATAATTATAAACACCCAATTTTGCATGTCAAAAAGTTCATGCACATAGGAGAATTTTACAAAAGTTTGCAATTCAAGATTATTCATGTGCATATCTTGATGTATAAGGTTTTGCAATGCATCACCAATGCAAACAATATTTACACCCTAATTTCACATGACAAAGGAAGTTAATACACATAACAAAAATCTTGGTGCTGATAATGTGAGTAACCCCAAACAGAATTCCAATTGGCCAGCTCGACACCTTATAAAACAATCAATACGAGATTTCCTTAGAATGTGATATATTTGGCTGCGTGTTATGTGCAGTCAGTCTTTTTCATCAAAATACCCTCACGAGCACCTGTAATCTCACATCTAGTGTCACTTAATGGCCCAGTGTGATCAATGGATTGTACATATGGAAAGCAAGATACACTTGAAAGCCGCGGCTGTTTTACTCCAATACACAAGACCAACGGATTGGACACAAAGACTTTTTCGGTGCAAATTGTCGCAGGCGCTTTGCGGAAATTACGTAACTGAACGCGGAGAAACACAAGCCGTCATCGAGCTACACTGAAATACTCAACTTAGGTGAAACTCAGAATGATGAAATTGGAAATGAGGAAGAAACCAGCTAAATCAACATGTGGATGGCAACACAATAACTTGAAAATCTCTCATGAATTCGTATGACAATGTAATTTCTGCTGAGACCATGATAATTTGAACAACGGAGAAAATTATATGGATACACAACTTCTTTATTATAATGTAAGCGGCGTGTCGGTGTAGCTGCTAAAACCGTTATCAAGCAAGTGATGTCTACGGGGTAGTCCCGTAAGTTAGACCTTTGGGTAGAGATAAATATCCTTGGATGTTTGATGTTGTGACAACTGTGTTGTTTTAAGGGATTAAGAGACTGGTTTTAAGGCATTAAGACATTGGTTTTACAAAATGTAAAATGTGTTAACTCAGCTCACTCAGGAAACGAAATAAGACAGGTGTACCAGAATGTGACGGAATTTGCCAGTGATGACAAATGCACAATTAGATTTCATTTTTTTTCCTACTTTTCGTGGTGGAAGATACCTTTGTGTAAATGGTTATATGTTCATAGTGCAACAGATAGTTTAGTGATGGTTATTTATTCGTATTAAGTATTTGTGTTGTTTTCATTTTTCTAATTGTTTAGGGGCAGATTTGCAGCCTCATTAAGTTCATGTTTTAACTGTTTACTCGATCTTGGTTTCAAGTTTCTTGTCAGTTATTTATAGAGGGAGCCCAACAGCCCGTCGCATCCACCTCTGCGGCTTGCCCTCATATCGCCTACACCTCATATCGCCCACAAAGGCCAGGTTTACCGCCCCTATCATAATAATGGGTATTACCCAACTGGCTGTTAACATTAAGCAAATAGATCTTGTACATTGTCTGTGTGACATGACTTACTCATCTACTTACATTAGTATCATTTGATCAACCATACATGTTTTGATTACATTTGTTTGGGGAATGGGAGGACTTCGCACAAACACAACATTGAAATCGAGATGCACGTGCGTCATGTATGCATTCAGCCACTAATTGCCGGATTGAATTGCCATCGTTCACTTGTTTTTTTTTAGCACAGCAGCTATGGCTAGATTAACGACAGATCAACGACAACAGGCAATTGGACGTCTACACAATCTCCAGCGACGTTTCTGTTGCCTTTCAGTATATTAATGAATGCCATTCTTGATTAAACAAGAGTCACGTTTCCAATGCTTTTCCTCTTGTGCACTCGGCCAACCTTGCATGCTTTACACTGATTCCTACACAAAACAACCACCCAACCAAAACATACAGTTCAACCCAACTATAATATAACATATACAGTCAAACCCAATCACAATGTCACCTTGACAATCTTTCCAGAAGAGATGGAGTCATCCAGTTATTGACTACCAGAAGGGACGGTTGGGAAAATGGCGATTCTGTGGACGTTTCTGATGTGAATCACAATGTCTCTCTCCCTGAATGGGAATACTGATACTCACACAATTAGCATTTGCAAGGGTTGTTATTTAAAGAACGCTTGTTTTCAGCCTTTTTAAGTCATTTTGAGGATGCAATGTGAATATACTGAAAGCCCAAAATGATGACTGAAAGGACAGACTTTTCGATCGTAATGATGTTTCTTTCAAAATGTCTTTATAAATATTTTATCATGAGTGGATTTAGAAAGCAGTTCATTTGTCATAAAGACTATATTATGTTTCCGCTAAGCAGTTCGTTCAGCTGGAACTATTTTGGTTTATTTCCTCTGTAGCATGTGCATTTTACAGCTTAAGAGGACTTCATAAAAGGAATAAGATGTGAAACGTTATTAGCTGTTAGCGTACGTATCGTTTCAACTTGAATGTTTTTCAACAGACGCCCACTGTTATGTATACTACAACATGTATAGTTCATGATTGGAACTGGTGCATGGTCGTCATACTTCGGTAGCTGTTAGCGTAGATATCGTTTCAACTTGCATGTTTTTCAACAGATGAAACAGACACCCACTGTTATGTATAATACAACATGTATAGTTCATGATGAGAACTGTTGCATGGTCGTCATACTTCTGTTGATAACTGTCGTCTCTTCCATGTATCGTTTCAACTTGCATGTTTTTCAACAGATGAAACAGACACCCACTGTTATGTATAATACAACATGTATAGTTCATGATGAGAACTGTTGCATGGTCGTCATACTTCTGTTGATAACTGTCGTCTCTTCCATGTGCAATACTCTGTCTGAATTCCAAGGCTATCAGAGTGTTTGTGTTGAACCCAAGCACAATAAGATTTATCTGGTTGGCATGATGACCAGAGACTCCAAATATATAAATATCACTAATAGTAAATAGTTGTGGGATGAAATTTATGCATGTGCCGTAGAAACATGGTCAGTCGGATTTTTACCAGAGAATGAAGAAGAAGAGGAAGAAGGGGTGAAATTGGGTTTAAACTGAACGTCCTCAGAATAGATTCTTAACACCTCTTCCCACCACATTGAACCTCATGCCTCGGGAGAATCCAGTGGCAAAACAGATTCTCCGTTTTGTGTTCATTCCAAATGATAATGGCATGGTGTTTGGATTAGGAAAATGCAACATCTGAAACGTATCTTGGTAGAAAGAGGATCATTTGGGCTACTTTGGGGGGAATTTATTCGGTATCTCGTGTACGGTCAGGCCCGTATGTTCTTGGCGACCAACTCCACTGATGCCACAGTCTACCTCACCTCACCTCATATTCTTATTGACTCGCATTGATTAGCTATTGCTTATGTGCATATGTACCTTTTTCATATGGGTAAGTGATTTCTTTGAGTGGCATTTTAGAAGTTGGGAAGTACAATATAGAACAAACTTTATGGATAACAAGTATGCACTCACGTATGCACTCACGAATAAAAAAAAGTTGTTATCCATAAAGTTTGTTCCATAATGGGTAAATGATAGCAAATTGTTTTCCGTCTGTTTCTTTCTTTCTTTCTTACGTAATCCCCTGTGATATTGTCATAATGATGCGACATAACTGAATAATATTTAAGCTTACCTGCATCATCTGTCAGATTTAATCCAGCCGGGTGGGTAAACACACACTGAGTGTCAGCAAACGGAAACATGTACATCATAGCTCCAAATGGAACATCATCAACGTGGGTCAGGCGGTAAAATCCTGGGGTTGTCAACTCCACTGATGCCTCAGAGAAACAGCTTCCTTTAATTACCTTAAATTGGGGAAATATCTGTGGACGTATTCCGAGAACCTTGTCAGTTGGAACAATGACTGTTATATACACCTTCTTCAGGTCATATGTAGCATGAATAACAGGTTTTCCGATGGCATAAGAGCTGGAGTATAAACTGGTCGGTGGAACGAGTGCCAGTGATGGTGTTTTTATGGCTATCTGAACAACCATGACGGGCTTGTCCGCTTCAATGTACACTGGACCTGTGGAGGAGTCAACAGTTATGTCATGAAACTCCCGTTGACCCACGCTGAAGGATATACCACTGACGTACGGGGAGCGGACGGAGGTTGACGCTACTGATCCAACAACTCTGTATATGGCCCCACCAGTGATAGATGGTGGTACTGGCAAGTAATAGCTTCTTCCAAATGACTTTACGGGCAACAACATTTCTTGCATGCCATCTTTAATGCCAGCCATGTACTTCATATTATGTCCACTAATCACTGCCACAGGTTTATCACTGGTGATCAGTGTTCCAGTAATGTCCTCGGCACAGTAGGCACCAACAGTCTGATACTTGTTGAGTGTAAACGTTCTGCTCTCCCCATTGAAGAATGTTCCATTGCCACACCCACCTGCCATGAGGGGTCCTTGTATTTTAAGACTGACGTTCACCTGGGTATTATCCTCCGTAGCGACGATGAGGAAAACAGTTTGTGTTGTTGATGTGTAAACAAGCTCTGGCTGATCTCCAGTGTTATCATCAATGTGTGTTATTACGATATATTCCGTCGATAATGTCTCGGTCGGTAAGGCAAGGTATCCATCTCCTCTACGAGCAAGTGTGTGGTAACAGAACAGGGTCATATCCTCAGTGGATGAAAAGTAGAATGACATGTCAGTCACCTGAAGGTTGGCTTGGTAATAAAAACTTTCATCAACTTTGTACTTGTATTCTTCCATGGCTTGGATGTGTAAATCTTTCGAAATACCGAATCCACTCTCAACGTGAACAGTGGCATTCACCTCAGACAGAATCACAAAGAACATGTTTGGAATGCTTGCACTTTGGTAAAGTTGTTCAAAGAATGCCGCAACGAACTGTCGACCCTTTGGCATGGCTGAAGCATCTGAAGTCATGATGAAATAGCGGGGAATATCCTTGCAAGTGTTATGATTTGACTAATTAAATCAACACGTAAATATTTGTACAATTTGTTGGTTGGTTGGCTGGCCCATGAAAGGGGTACACAAAGTACGTGATCTAAGCTACCAGTCGTGAGACTTCGATTTGTGTGGGTGCCGTTGTGGCTGAGAGGGTTAGATCACTGACTTTGTGTGCTGGCGATTAGGTGTCAGACTGTGAGAGTGTGTGTTCTAATCCATGATCTGACTCAATCAAAATGAGTATAAGAATCTGTACTTTACTCAAAAAATGTAATCCCTCCTATAACATGCTACTGATGTATATCTGCGTGAGTGATTGGGGTCAGTTTTACGCCGCACTCAGCAACATTCCAGCTATATGGCAGCCTCCTGTAAATAATCGAGTTTTGACCAAACAATCCAGTGATCCACAGCTGAGCATCAATCTACGCAATTGGGGTACAACGACATGTGTCAACCATGTCAACGAGCTGACCACCCGATCCCGTTAGTCGCCTCTTACAAGCATGGGTTGATGAAGATCAATTCTAACCCGGATCTTCACGGTCGATGCATATCTGCACAAGACATACATCTTCGCTGGCATTGTCAAGTCGTTGTGGTCCATCGTTATAACAGTGCACACATATGTGCTGTCCATTATCAACCAAGAAAAGAATAACTTACCTGCACATAGCAGGAGTACCAACAAAAGTGACTGCATCTGAAAGATGAAACAACTGATGTTGAAGGTTTTGTCTGATTTCACACTGAAAGGAGCTGTGCATATTTGTAGGTTTCCCTCACTTACCAGAGGTTGACTCACATAATGTTATCTCCTGCATGAAGTGATTTTACATCACAAGAGATAAATATATTCAATGTCAAAACAGTTAAGAACCATTTTACTAATGTTAAATATCATTTAATCATTGAAGTTTTAAAAGAAAATGAGTTGTTAAATATATGTTGATTAAAGTTGTGTAAAGAGACAAATATTTAATTATTAGTAGTTTAAATTTACAACTGATTTTGTTAGTGGCTGTATCCTCGAAGGGGGTTAAAGTACTGTAAAATTATTGTCCTCCTAAGAGAGTACGTAAGTCACAAAACAATTAAAGTAAATTTAAACATAATTCTACTTTTAACCGCAGTATATATGTTATTTTAACCTATGGTTAGATTGTCCAAAATTGCTAACACCTGAAGGGATGGTGTAAATCCAGCTATGGTCCATGCAGAAAGCAAATGTACTGTAAGTCCCAATGGTCCCAAGTATGGTGATCTACCTTCAGTTGTTGGCAATCTATTGCCCGGTTTTATATTGTATTGTCATCTATAGTTAAAATGGTTTAGATTTAATTACTAGTTCTAAATTTATATCTGTGATAATTTAGTTGTTCACGGTCCTACGTTGACAGGTTTTTAAAAATTTACATTTAAAAATATAAATCTATAATTTGATTTAGTCACAATATGGCTGAAATACTGCCGATGTGACTTAAAATCTTAAATTTCTCACTCACTGCATGAAGTGTTGTGTGTTAAATACTTTCTCAAGTGCAAGTCATAAAACATATATTGTTTGTGGAATCTTTACATTACTTATTTTGACAAAGACTTCAATTTGTTCATAACCCTGCATACAGCCTTCTGGTCAGTGTCACATATCTATATAAATAGACAATTACCATTTTCCGTTTTCAGATGAAAACCTGAATTCGTAAGATAGTGCGTATGTGCATGTATTTCCTGCCATTCGTCTTCCGTAAATAATTTCAGTCCCAAACAAGGTGATTTATCAATGTGTACAGGACAATTTGAGTTACGATTTATTATTATTCTATTTATTCTATTCTATGATACTGTTTAGATCATTAACACAGACGAAAGCACACTCATAATTGTCATCTTCATTTTACAGAGAATATTACACAAATACGTAAAATACTCCGTGTCCCGGGAAAGTAGTTTACTTGCAAATACCAGATCACACAGATCAGTTGACACAGGTAATGTATACAGTCCAATTAAACATATGGTCAGAGACAAAGTTTGTATTCTCCACCCAAACATTTGGTCAAAAGCAAGTAATCTAATAACTGCATGGCGTTAAGGAATTAGCCATGAGTTCTCACCTTGACTGAATCCAAGTGACGAGTAGCTGAGCGGGTTATGCCTTGACTGCAGTTCAGACCTCTCTGAAAGTACAAGTCGATGCAGCAGTACAGCTTGTCTTGGATTTCTGCGGACGGAAAGCGAGTTAGAATCGAATATAAAATTTATGTTCCGTTTGCTCATTATAATTAAGTCGATGATATTGACCAATCAGCGTAAAATGCGTACTTAAGTTCATATAGCTTATCACTTACTAACCTATCACAGTGCTATTTGTTAATCCAAACATCCTGAGTTGCAGATTCCCTGTAGAAAGGGCAGGCCTGCTAGGTTGTATTCCCAATATTCCATTTGAACACATTGCAGTTGATACTTCTCGAGAGTGGCCTGTGCGGGGGCCAGAAACAAGTACATTCCAGTTCTACAGGAGAATTTTACGAAACTCATAGAGGCACATTCAGTTCCAAACACGAGCCATACTTCAAAATTGGTTGATGAGTTCGACAAACGATTGCATATTAATTTTGTATCCAGGTTCACATGTTTTGGCTATTTCATACAAATTGCCATCAACTAGGAATTCAAAAGAACACATAACCAGTGGGTGACGACATAGTGGAACACTTTATCAGAGCTTTAACAAACATGTTTAGTCAATAAGTCATTGGTTCAAAAACAGTTTGGGTTATTGACCTTCACAGGTAATGTTCGCAGGACAGAGTTTGCAGGGCCTTCCTCTAACTCTTTGTTTTAGGGCGATGGTTTGAGCTTGTCTGTGGTACTTACAATAAATATATGGTATAAGGGTTCTTCGTAAATGAGTCCAACGTTTATTGAAAAGGAATGGAAACTGCAGAACAGAAATGGCAAACATTCCTTAATATAATCTAACGCAGACCAATCTTAATATTAGTAGGTTACATAGTATGGCTCCAGTGTTCTAGGGTTTTAAGAGAGGACGTTCTCGGAAGTTCTCACGGCCATGTTGGTGATATGACTTTGATGGAGAATACACATCTTGTCGAAGATTATATGGACGTTAATTAAGGGAGTGTCACGTGAACCGTTTAAATAAATCTAAAGAAATATGTCGTGAGCTTCAAACACACTCAGAAGGACTTTTTGGTCGCAGAGTTACGGAATAAGGAGAGTAGAGAAAGTCAGAAGTATCTGTCCCACCGGTTGGATCCGGGAACGGTGCCTCAGAGGCAGGAAGGGCTTTATTTGGTTCCTTTGAAGGTGACCAAACCAGAGAATGAAGAAAAAGAGGAAGAAGGGGTGAAATTGGGTTAAACTGAACGTCCTCAGAATAGATTCCCAACACCTCTTCCCACCACATTGAACCTCATGCCTCGGGAGAATCCAGTGGCAAAACAGATTCTCCGTTTTGTGTTCATTCCAAATGATAATGGCATGGTGTTTGGATTAGGAAAATGCAACATCTGAAACGTATCTTGGTAGAAAGAGGATCATTTGGGCTACTTTGGGGGGAATTTATTCGGTATCTCGTGTACGGTCAGGCCCGTATGTTCTTGGCGATACATTTTGGATGCAAACTCCATAAAGTCGACGAAAATGAGTTTATGTTCAGTGTTTTCACGAAACGAGCAGCCCTACTGAGTCGAATTGTTAGAATAAAGGCGTCTGACCATAAACGGGAAATGAAAGCTTTCTCATTACTGCTTAAGACTATATGCGTTGGCAGAGAATGTTTAAGAGAGAAGTATTGTCTCGGTTGTCACTTCTATCCCGTCGGGCCATACTGTCAGTAGTGCCTTGACGTCAACAGAGTTTATGTTTTGTTCAAGTGGGTGAGGTGTAGCTTTACGCCGCTTTTAGCAATATTCCAGCAATATCATGGCAGAGGACACCAGAAATGGGTCAAATGTAATAAAGCAAAAACGAAAACATCATTGAAACTGCCATGTACTTTAATTAGGATAATTGCCTATATTTAAAACAGGCGTTTTTCTGTCCTAAAACAAGTTACCTTATTTTGAAAAGTGAAAGTAATAACTCATTGTTGTGTGGCCTGTAAATTCGTTATTTATTTGTGAATGGGTGAAAGTTTGCGAACTAACATTGAGGAAAAGTCACAGTCAAACTATAAAAAAAGAGGAAAATTTTAAAACGCAGTGAAAGTTCACAAACAAAACAAACACATATTAGCTGTAATTATCAGTATCCGGTAAAGAGAACTGTTTATTCATTACAATAAACTCAGAATCATAAATATTTTATTCCAAAGTCTTAGTAATGTGGCCTTTTTTCAGTTTTTGTCAATTAGCAATGTGAATTGTTGGAAAAAGGTCTGAATCGTTGACATTCGGGTTCTTCCTGATTATGCATAATTACAACTTACCTGTAAATGTCATCTTAGTATGTGACAGAATTGTTATTTTTAGTCAAAACTTAATTTGATTGTGTAGTTTGAGCAGGAGAGGAATAGTTATTTTGGGTAAAACATCAGTCCCATCACATTTCCATCAACATATTCTTTCATAAAGAATAGAAAAGGTTATGGTATTTGTAAAACTGTCAGTGGATAAAGCTTCTTTAACTACAGGTTGATTAAATTGATGGCTATACCCTAACTTTTCTGTAGCATCACATCTTATTTTCAAAATAGGGTGGTGCTTAATTAATGCACGGATGTATATATGACAGTACCTGATCTCAGCAATTACAGGCCACGTGGTAAATGAAATAGGTTGTACTTTGGTTTCACCGTTTGTCTTTCATAAACCAATCTTCCATCACAAGGGATAACTATTTCAAATCACGAACCATGAAGGCTCTTTTTACTAATATAAGTTCGCATTTAATTATTGCATTTTGAAAAGACTTAGACTTGTTAACTGATTTGTAAATAGATACATATTTTATTATTGGTAGTTTAGATTAGTAACTTGTATTGTTAGTGGCTCTACCCTCAAAGGGGGTTGAAGTAGCGTAAAATTATTGTCCTCCTGAGAGGGTACGTAAGTCCCAAAAACTTTCAAAGTGAAATTTTCTCGTACCAAGTTTTTAAACGTAGTATTTTTGTTCTTTTACATTTCGGCTAAATTATTCTACAATCGCCAGCGGCTGAAGGGATGGTGTAAATCCAGCTAGGCTCCATGCAGGTATCAAAAGTAATGTAAGTCCCCAAAGTTCCTAGTTTGGTGATCTACCTTCAGTTGTTGGCGATCCATAGCCCGTGTTGTATATAGTATTGTCTTCTTTAATTGGAATGTTTTAGCTTTTTTCGCTAGTTTTATATTATATCTGTGATTATCTAGTATTTTTACTGTCCATCGTCGACAGGTTTTAATCTTCAAAATATTTCACTTTTTATGGTATAAATTGTTTTCGTCACGATATGGCTTAGATATTGCCGATGTGACGTTAAATATTAACTCACTCACTCATAAACCAATCATTCGTTGGTTGCAATGTGACCCAATAGTGTTCTAATCATGAGCATGTGCTTTTCGTTGTACTTACAAACATCATGTGTCAGATTGAATCCGGCCGGGTGGGTAAACACACACTGAGCGTCAACAAACGGAAACACGTACATCATGGCTCCAAATGGAACATCATCCACGTGGGTCAGGCGGTAAAACCCTGGTGTTGTCAACTCCACTGATGCCACACTCTACCTCACCTCACCTCATATTCTTATTGACTCGCATTGATTAGCTATTGCTTATGTGCATATGTACCTTTTTCATATGGGTAAGTGATTTCTTTGAGTGGCATTTTAGAAGTTGGGAAGTACAATATAGAACAAACTTTATGGATAACAAGTATGCACTCACGTATGCACTCACGAATAAAAAAAAAGTTGTTATCCATAAAGTTTGTTCCATAATGGGTAAATGATAGCAAATTGTTTTCCGTCTGTTTCTTTCTTTCTTTCTTACGTAATCCCCTGTGATATTGTCATAATGATGCGACATAACTGAATAATATTTAAGCTTACCTGCATCATCTGTCAGATTTAATCCAGCCGGGTGGGTAAACACACACTGAGTGTCAGCAAACGGAAACATGTACATCATAGCTCCAAATGGAACATCATCAACGTGGGTCAGGCGGTAAAATCCTGGGGTTGTCAACTCCACTGATGCCTCAGAGAAACAGCTTCCTTTAATTACCTTAAATTGGGGAAATATCTGTGGACGTATTCCGAGAACCTTGTCAGTTGGAACAATGACTGTTATATACACCTTCTTCAGGTCATATGTAGCATGAATAACAGGTTTTCCGATGGCATAAGAGCTGGAGTATAAACTGGTCGGTGGAACGAGTGCCAGTGATGGTGTTTTTATGGCTATCTGAACAACCATGACGGGCTTGTCCGCTTCAATGTACACTGGACCTGTGGAGGAGTCAACAGTTATGTCATGAAACTCCCGTTGACCCACGCTGAAGGATATACCACTGACGTACGGGGAGCGGACGGAGGTTGACGCTACTGATCCAACAACTCTGTATATGGCCCCACCAGTGATAGATGGTGGTACTGGCAAGTAATAGCTTCTTCCAAATGACTTTACGGGCAACAACATTTCTTGCATGCCATCTTTAATGCCAGCCATGTACTTCATATTATGTCCACTAATCACTGCCACAGGTTTATCACTGGTGATCAGTGTTCCAGTAATGTCCTCGGCACAGTAGGCACCAACAGTCTGATACTTGTTGAGTGTAAACGTTCTGCTCTCCCCATTGAAGAATGTTCCATTGCCACACCCACCTGCCATGAGGGGTCCTTGTATTTTAAGACTGACGTTCACCTGGGTATTATCCTCCGTAGCGACGATGAGGAAAACAGTTTGTGTTGTTGATGTGTAAACAAGCTCTGGCTGATCTCCAGTGTTATCATCAATGTGTGTTATTACGATATATTCCGTCGATAATGTCTCGGTCGGTAAGGCAAGGTATCCATCTCCTCTATGAGCAAGTGTGTGGTAACAGAACAGGGTCATATCCTCAGTGGATGAAAAGTAGAATGACATGTCAGTCACCTGAAGGTTGGCTTGGTAATAAAAACTTTCATCAACTTTGTACTTGTATTCTTCCATGGCTTGGATGTGTAAATCTTTCGAAATACCGAATCCACTCTCAACGTGAACAGTGGCATTCACCTCAGACAGAATCACAAAGAACATGTTTGGAATGCTTGCACTTTGGTAAAGTTGTTCAAAGAATGCCGCAACGAACTGTCGACCCTTTGGCATGGCTGAAGCATCTGAAGTCATGATGAAATAGCGGGGAATATCCTTGCAAGTGTTATGATTTGACTAATTAAATCAACACGTAAATATTTGTACAATTTGTTGGTTGGTTGGCTGGCCCATGAAAGGGTACACAAAGTACGTGATCTAAGCTACCAGTCGTGAGACTTCGATTTGTGTGGGTGCCGTTGTGGCTGAGAGGGTTAGATCACTGACTTTGTGTGCTGGCGATTAGGTGTCAGACTGTGAGAGTGTGTGTTCTAATCCATGATCTGACTCAATCAAAATGAGTATAAGAATCTGTACTTTACTCAAAAAATGTAATCCCTCCTATAACATGCTACTGATGTATATCTGCGTGAGTGATTGGGGTCAGTTTTACGCCGCACTCAGCAACATTCCAGCTATATGGCAGCCTCCTGTAAATAATCGAGTTTTGACCAAACAATCCAGTGATCCACAGCTGAGCATCAATCTACGCAATTGGGGTACAACGACATGTGTCAACCATGTCAACGAGCTGACCACCCGATCCCGTTAGTCGCCTCTTACGACAAGCATGGGTTGATGAAGATCAATTCTAACCCGGATCTTCACGGTCGATGCATATCTGCACAAGACATACATCTTCGCTGGCATTGTCAAGTCGTTGTGGTCCATCGTTATAACAGTGCACACATATGTGCTGTCCATTATCAACCAAGAAAGAATAACTTACCTACCTGCATAGCAGGAGTACCAACAAAGTGACTGCATCTGAAAGATGAAACAACTGATGTTGAAGGTTTTGTCTGATTTCATACTGAAAGGAGCTGTGCATATTTGTAGGTTTCCCTCACTTACCAGAGGTTGACTCACATAATGTTATCTTCTGCATGAAGTGATTTTACATCACAAGAGATAAATATATTCAATGTCAAAACAGTTAAGAACCATTTTACTAATGTTAATTATCATTTAATCATTGAAGTTTTAAAAAAAAATGAGTTGTTAAATATATGTTGATTAAAGTTGTGTAAATATATAAATATTTAATTATTGGTAGTTTAAATTTACAACTGATTTTGTTTGTGGCTGTATCCTCGAAGGGGTTAAAGTACTGTAAAATTATTGTCCTCCTGAGAGAGTACGTAAGTCCCAAAACAATTAAAGTAAATTTAAACATAATTCTACCTTTTAACCGCAGTATATATGTTATTTTAACCTATGGTTAGATTGTCCAAAATTGCTAACATCTGAAGGGATGGTGTAAATCCAGCTAGGGTCCATGCAGAAAGCAAATGTACTCTAAGTCCCAATGGTCCCAAGTATGGTGATCTACTTTCAGTTGTTGGCTATCTATATGCCCGGTTTTATATTGTATTGTCATCTATAGTTAAAATGGTTTAGATTTAATTACTAGTTCTAAATTTATATCTGTGATAATTTAGTTGTTCACGGTCCTACGTTGACAGGTTTTTAAAATTTACATTTAAAAATATAAATCTATAATCTGATTTAGTCACAATATGGCTGAAATACTGCCGGTGTGACTTAAAATCTTAAATTCTCACTCACTGCATGAAGTGTTGTGTGTTAAATACTTTCTCAAGTGCAAGTCATAAAACATATATTGTTTGTGGAATCTTTACATTAATTATTTTGACAAAGACTTCAATTTGTTCATAACCCTGCATACAGCCTTCTGGTCAGTGTCACATATCTATATAAATAGACAATTACCATTTTCCGTTTTCAGATGAAAACCTGAATTCGTAAGATAGTGCATATGTGCATGTATTTCCTGCCATTCGTCTTCCGTAAATAATTTAATTTCAGTCCCAAACAAGGTGATTTATCAATGTGTACAGGACAATTTGAGTTACGATTTATTATTATTCTATTTATTCTATTCTATGATACTGTTTAGATCATTAACACAGACGAAAGCACACTCATAATTGTCATCTTCATTTTACAGAGAATATTACACAAATACGTAAAATACTCCGTGTCCCGGGAAAGTAGTTTACTTGCAAATACCAGATCACACAGATCAGTTGACACAGGTAATGTATACAGTCCAATTAAACATATGGTCAAAGACAAAGTTTGTATTCTCCACCCAAACATTTGGTCAAAAGCAAGTAATCTAATAACTGCATGGCGTTAAGGAATTAGCCATGAGTTCTCACCTTGACTGAATCCAAGTGACGAGTAGCTGAGCGGGTTATGCCTTGACTGCAGTTCAGACCTCTCTGAAAGTACAAGTCGATGCAGCAGTACAGCTTGTCTTGGATTTCTGCGGACGGAAAGCGAGTTAGAATCGAATATAAAATTTATGTTCCGTTTGCTCATTATAATTAAGTCGATGATATTGACCAATCAGCGTAAAATGCGTACTTAAGTTCATATAGCTTATCACTTACTAACCTATCACAGTGCTATTTGTTAATCCAAACATCCTGAGTTGCAGATTCCCCTGTAGAAAGGGCAGGCCTGCTAGGTTGTATTCCCAATATTCCATTTGAACACATTGCAGTTGATACTTCTCGAGAGTGGCCTGTGCGGGGGCCAGAAACAAGTACATTCCAGTTCTACAGGAGAATTTTACGAAACTCATAGAGGCACATTCAGTTCCAAACACGAGCCATACTTCAAAATTGGTTGATGAGTTCGACAAACGATTGCATATTAATTTTGTATCCAGGTTCACATGTTTTGGCTATTTCATACAAATTGCCATCAACTAGGAATTCAAAAGAACACATAACCAGTGGGTGACGACATAGTGGAACACTTTATCAGAGCTTTAACAAACATGTTTAGTCAATAAGTCATTGGTTCAAAAACAGTTTGGGTTATTGACCTTCACAGGTAATGTTCGCAGGACAGAGTTTGCAGGGCCTTCCTCTAACTCTTTGTTTTAGGGCGATGGTTTGAGCTTGTCTGTGGTACTTACAATAAATATATGGTATAAGGGTTCTTCGTAAATGAGTCCAACGTTTATTGAAAAGGAATGGAAACTGCAGAACAGAAATGGCAAACATTCCTTAATATAATCTAACGCAGACCAATCTTAATATTAGTAGGTTACATAGTATGGCTCCAGTGTTCTAGGGTTTTAAGAGAGGACGTTCTCGGAAGTTCTCACGGCCATGTTGGTGATATGACTTTGATGGAGAATATACATCTTGTCGAAGATTATATGGACGTTAATTAAGGGAGTGTCACGTGAACCGTTTAAATAAATCTAAAGAAATATGTCGTGAGCTTCAAACACACTCAGAAGGACTTTTGGTCGCAGAGTTACGGAATAAGGAGAGTAGAGAAAGTCAGAAGTATCTGTCCCACCGGTTGGATCCGGGAACGGTGCCTCAGAGGCAGGAAGGGCTTTATTTGGTTCCTTTGAAGGTGACCAAACCCAATGTGTCTTAAGGAATGTGTCCAGCACACAGGTTGATCGTGGGATACGTTTGGAAGATTCATAGCTGGTTATTGCTATGCCAGCATACATGGGTACGTCCATTTGACACACGAATACCACTATGTTTATATTGATTAGTCATGTTTGGCTTTTTCACAACTACCGGTACGTATGTATACATACATATCTATAATACAGTGTGTCCTTAATTGCTATATATTTTGATGCAGGTAATATTTTTACCTGCTGACAATATCAACATCAAGTGTCATGACAAATGAGGCTTAGACATTTGTAATTACCCTTCAGTTTAAGTAAAACTTGTGTTGAAGAAAAAAAACTAACAAAACATTTTCTTTTCTGAATTTCTCTCAAAATGTCAACAATTGTAGATTCACTTGTTTTGTTTGCATGGCTTAAAGACTTGCCTGTCTCAAATTTGTATTGTGTATATTTCACAGAAACAGTACCTCCCCCGGAGTTGTGGCATAAAAGCATGTGTTTGTATCCGGGTGTATATTTCACGTAAACTATGAAAGTAGTATACACAATGGTGGTACTGCCGTAATACCGCCATAACACTGAAACCCAATAAGGAGGTCCAAAGCATGTCCAAGCATTATTCAGAAATATTTAAAGGCGTGATCACAATAATTATTCATGCATATTGAAGTGTGCCACAAGTACAATTATTTGGCTAAGTTACACCTTTTTAAAGCAAATACTTCCCACTCAAATAAAGCCTAATATAGGCAGAAATGACATGTACGTTACTGTCCAAAAGGCAATATTCACTTTTTTAAGGTCATCATGTTTCAAGCACAACCACAATATAGTTTACATGGGCATAGGAAACGACAGAGTAACTTAATGCATCATGATTTGAGGAGAATATATTTCCCTATTCCTCAACACAATTTTTTCATGACGAGGAATGAATCACTCTAAGAATGTCCAAAGTTTCATGGAAATGTACGTTACTGACACTTCATCTCATCAAGGTAGTCCACTACTGAAGATATGAAAACGTTTGATTGATTTAAATTGAAGAATAATATGTTTTCAAAAGAATTAAATACTCATTAAAGAAATAACAAAACCTTTCAGTGCTGTTAAGAAGGTGTCTAAATGCACTAATCAACCGTAATTTTAAGGATGAAATGTACGTTACTCCCTTTTGGTTTTAGAGGTCTGACAAGAGAATGGTTTGCTATACAAAGGGATGTTTATGGATATAAGACAATAAAATGAAGTGAGTTGCTCATTGTTCCTACTTGAAATAAGCATTATTTAGGTAAAATAATGCCCCCGCCGATGGTTGAAAAATATGAAAAACGGCGTCGACCATCGTTCGATGCCCCCTATTTTTTATTATTTTTTTTTCTAATTTTATTTGAGTCTTAAAATCTGTGAGGGCACCGGTGAGTTTCGACAACCAAGATAAAATGGCATTGTGTATTTCAAAACCAAAATAGAGACAAAACTTGAAAACATACATACGAAAACACATATATTTTTTCTAGTCCATGTAGAAGGGGTGCCAAGGGTTGGCTGTACAAACTGGTTTGGGCGTTTCTGTCTTCTCGTCGGCCTGTCTGTCCACCAGTGTGTCGGTCGG